ATTCGCCGTCTATTGATAAAATCGTCATAAAATCAATGTGAATTGAGATAAGATCAGGTAACAATAAAGTGCTCCTGACCCTTCTTATACTAGTTTTAGCAGAATTCATAATTAGCTACTGATCTGTTGAGCACAGTTACTATAATCTCAATATGTCTACTTGTAAACCTAAAGAATCATAATATTACGTCTCAAAATATATAGACTAAACAGCTTTTAGTTCTATCTGTCGCCTTCTTAATATGCATTTTCGAGATTTCAAAATCAGAAAAAACAAGCTAACCGGCATCAATGCAGTCAGTCTCGCCAGAATACAGAATACGGAATCCTTCCTTTCGTCCACCCAAGCGTGCCTTAACGACAACATCAAATTCCTCTAAATTCGTCACTGGTTCATTTATACTTGGTTCCTTCTGGAAAAATTCTAAACCGTAACATTTAAACATTCTATTTAATTCTCCAAAATTCTCAAAATAAACTTGAGAAACCTCAAGGAATTCAAGAGAAAAGATCACCGATAAAGAGTCACTTGTCATATATTGTTCAAACTTAAAGCCCCAATATGTCATTCGTTTGTCGCGATCAGACATTGATTTCAACTGAAGGATTTTTTCATTGGTCGGGAACTCACATATGAAAATTACAGATTTATACCGAACAGCAGCTAACCGCCAACCATCTCGATATTCATACGGTGAGCATGCGATCCGTGTCAGAGTGCCACGCCAACAAATAAAATCAGCGCTATGGCAAACCTTAAAATGACGCAGATCTAATTTACACGTACTTCAAAAAAAGTTGAATAAGTGGCATATTTTAAATAGGAATTACCTTATCATGATCAAATAAATTCCTGCATTAGTTGGGATTTTCTAAGCTATAGGTTAATTGAAAATAGCAGTTAATTTAGTTCAGTCAATTATGCAGATGATACAGTAAATCTTATTCTAGCTGTTGCCTGATCACCGAATAATACAGCAATGATTCTATGAATGTATTTTCTCCTTTTGCACTTTTGCAAAAAAAAAGAGAGGAATCAGAGTGAGAGCAAAAAAAAAGTGGAAGCAGCAATGAGAAATACCTTATCCAGAGAAGATCCAGGTTCGCTGTGTATAAGTATCCATTTCAACAATACGTCCAGTTTTTCATTGTGTAAAATGTCTTTGCCTTCAAACTGATAATAACCAATATTTAAGTCAAAATTACATCGCTGCCCAATAGCTTTCTCGTAAAGATATTTTGCCCGACACCTACCCGGCAATACATCATGCTGCTTGGTAAGACACATTTCTCCAATCACCGATGGTTTATGGAATGATGGAAATGCACCCTCATACAGTGATGGATCCGTTTTCAACAGTGATTCCATTCTGAAAATCAATCCACAACATCACCTCTAATTATTCACCACAATAGCTGATGATGTTATAAAATACCAAACACACCTCTATACTCCTCATATAGTCTGTCTCTGTATACGTATGTGTGTATGTGTATGTGTATGTGCATGTCTGTCTCTCTCTTTGCATGTATGTGTGTGTGTGTGTGTGTGTGTGTGTGTGTTCCTGTCGCAATCTAATTCCTGACAAAATCCAACCGACAAGAAATGCAATGCTAGTTTCGATTTAACGGTGAGAAGTATGTGATTAGTATGCTGACAGGACTCAATGGATTGGGAAGTGAGGGTGTTTTTTCGTTATGGGGGTTAAAGGTCGTTCTAGATTTATTGGCTTTATGTTAATGCAGACTTTTGCAGTTAGAGCCCAGAAGAATGATCGCTGGGGACGATATTCTTAACGACTCGGAAGATATCACTTCTGTAAAGGTAATTTAGTTTGCAGAGCTTTCTAATCTATTCAAAATGCATCATTAAGATTAAATACTTTCACTGTTTTCCTGTTCAGATAGCAGCAAAAAACATTAAATAAATCTTTTTGTTATTTTTGATCTTGTTAGAATTGCAAAAGTGAACCTCTATTTTAAGTTGTTTCTAAGATTTTTCATTTTACGTGTACTTCGAAATACAAATACATAAAACACTCGAGAATTCTCTTCTAATTCAGCAAGACTAGTGGAGAATTTAATAATATTAATCCGAAATCAATAATAATTTTTTCGTTTGAAACTTTTATTCTTATCTTTACTTCCTAGCATTCGTCGCTCTTGTCAAATCCTTCAGAAGATACCTAGTTATTCAGGACACGGATGGCATGACGTCAGTCGATTTGCATCTGGAAGACGATTTGCCCCAGCCCAGTATACCTGCTAAACTTTCGTTTACGGAAAATCCAGATACAAATGAGCCTTCATCATATTCTTCAGATTCGCAGATTGAAATTGTTATTAAACAGTTCGAGAAGAAAGGAGAAGGGATGGGCGCTTATATTGTTTATAAAGTTGTGACAGCAGTAAGTACAAACTTGTCTTGTTTAGAACTGAAAGTTAGCTGGTTTGAAATACTTGTATTTAATTTGGCTGATAGACTTGCTGCTTGCAGACACAGAACATGCAAGGTTATATAGATCGGGAATACGTTGTCTGGAGGCGATTCAGTGATTTTCTTGGCCTTCATGAAAAATTAGTGGACAAATATTTTTACAAGGGTTATTTAGTGCCGGCAGCACCTGAGAAAAGTATCGCCGCTCTTACACGAACAAAAATGAATACATCCGTGGATGATAATACCAACAAGTTAGTTTATTTTTGGAATAAAATGCATGAAATATGGGATGGAGACCTTAAATTTTGCTTTCTGAGGCTTTTTCAGTGAATTCGCTGAACGTCGAGCTAGAGGTCTTCAGAGATTCTGCAGGCGCATAGCACGTCATCCGAAATTAGTTCTTGATTGTGATTTTCGCGATTTTTTAACAATGACTGCTTCATTACCTAAAGCTAATTCTACTGTGGCCCTAAGTGGTGCAGGAGTTAAGCGAATATTCAAAACTGTTAGTGACGTTTTTTCGAAAATGGCTTTCCATATGGATGAAAATGATCGTTGGTTTGAAGCTGCACAACAACAAGTGAATTTTTTTATTACATTTTAAGGAAGATTAGGGTTGCTTTAAATCGTTTAATTTTTCTTTCTTTTGTTTATTTAGTGGACATTCTTGATGATTTCATTTTAATTTTTTTGTCCTTTATGTTTTTTTTTTTTTTTTTTTTTTATTTATGCAACCATTTTAGATGGAAGATATGGAACAGAACTTAAGCAAACTACTCCGAGCAGTCGAATCATTGAGTTCATACCGACGTGAATTAATTTCTGGGACAGATTCGTTCTCCAAAGCACTTTCAATGCTTTCTTCATGTGAGGAAAATACAACTCTTGCACGATGTTTGTCGCATTTAACCGAAACATATGAGAATATTGATCAGTTGCATGGTGTGCAGTCAGATAAAGATTGTGCACTGCTCGCTGAAGGGATCAGTGAACAGTTGCAGATTATCTACACGCTAAAAGTAGGTTTGTGCCAGATGTCAGCAACGTGATTAGAACTTAAGTATTAAATTGAATCTGATAAACAAAACTTTGTAGCATCCAAGCATAAAAATGATTAATTTCGAATCTCTTCTAGTTTCTTTCCTTGGTCTTCGTTCATGACTATTGTAGCCCATTTGCTATCGTTCAAATATCTAACCATTGCTTGTTTAAACTTGCCGACATTTGTTTAAACATATCACATTTCATGTCCACCACTTCATAAATGGTCATTACATATGTCATAGACAGCTTTTCAGGAACTTTTTTTCGAGCGTGTTAAAATTTGGCAGAATTGGCAAGCTGCGCAACAAAATCTTACAAGAAAACGAGAAATGAAAGCTCGTCATGAACTTTCTGGCCGAACCGATAGGACTAATCAAATTATAGCGGAACTCAACAGCGTATTTTTTTTTTTTTTTTATGATAATCATTTTTTGAGCATCACTATTTCCATTTTTATAGCCTTGTGTTAAAACACTAAATGCAGATAGGCACATTGATGAATGGATTAATGAGTGTTCTTAGACATTTGTCCACGTTATATCCAAAGTGAAATGAGAACCCTGTGTGGCTTGTGTATCGAAATATATCGTAAACATTCAGGTGATCTAATAATTAACTCTTTATTTTCCCCTATTACCTCATTATCATATTCAGGCAGAGAAAGCAGTGGATGAAGTGGAAAAAGAATTTTCTGAAGTAAGCAAAGTCATTCGTGGTGAGTATGAAACATTCTTAATGGAGCGTAAAAATGACATGAACGATACGTTTAAGCAATATCTTCAAGAACTGCTTGAAACGCAGAAACAATTCCTCAAATGCTGGGAAATATTTGCGCCAGAAACACAATCTATTGAAGCGGCCTAATTTTTAGGAAATATGGGCCCTATCCAAGCTGTGATGTCCTTATGCTTGCTAATGTACTCCTTGTTATAAATAAAGCATGAACCGTGAACTTCAATAAAAAATAACAAACAGAAGGGTTAATTTCAATTGTGAACAAAATACCGAAGTGGAGGTGATTGTGATTTAACAGCTTGTAGATAAAAGGATTTTCTCTTGAATAATTTCAATACATATTTGGTGATTGACATAGACTGCATTAGTGCTATGATGAATATGCATATGTATAAGAAATGTATGCTCTGCAATAAAATCCGTGCCGAATGTCTCCATTCAAATGGGTTTTATATCCATTCCCTCTCATAGGAGCCTGTGTTAAAACTCTTTATTTTTTATTAAATAGCCGAAAACCTAACCAATATGATTGAGCAAAAAGTTCTTAAAACACAGACATGTAAGATTTGACTATTTCCCTAGTATATTAGTATGTATGAAGTAAGAAAGAAAAGGTGCAGCAGAAACTATTAAGATTAATAACTTCCTAGAAAATCGAGAATTTTTTCACTAGAATTTAAGGAAAAAACGTGAAAGTTTTACCAGTAACAATGTTTTCAGATAAAGAACAAAGAAGGATCTCGTGAGTTGTACTTATGATTCAAAAAGATCGAAGCATAATTTATGTGACTATTGGAAAGGCATGAGCTTCAGTATTAAATACCCATTTATTCAAAGGCATGATACTGTCGTTCGAAAAAGTGAGGTATAAATACTTGAATGTTTCTGCAAATACAAAGCTCTGCTGTACATCATCGTGTACTACTTCTGAACTGTACACATTTTTTATGCCAGAGTACCTGAAAAAAATTCGAGGCAGTAATTTTCCTAAGTTTAGAAAGCTGATGTTACTTAAATTGTTATAATATATTTAAGGCACTTATACACTTTAAATTTTGACTTTCCATTTCAATTCTTGAATACTCTAGAAAACAAGCAAATGGTAAAAATTGCATAAATAATTTTGAACACAACATTGAAATTTATGTTGTATATTGAAAGAACAGGTTCCTTTATAATTTATAGCATTTCAAATGCAGAGATGTAGAATGAAATAGAGGGGTAGTAAAAAAACTTTATATAAACATATGTCGCAATGTTTCCCTGTTGCTATCAATAATCAAAAAATTAGAAACTCACCCTCCTGTTGTCCTACAGTATTTCTCAATATTTTTAGCGGCCATCCAACACCACTCTCTGTATTTATTTTTTCGCGTCACACGCCACAAATAAAACCACCCCTCAATCACCTAAAACTAAATCAATTAACAAGATTCTTCTAAACTATCCCGAATGTGCATTTTAATGAAAATAGAAAAAACAGAAAAGAATAATTCTAACCTCAGGTCGAAGAATATAGTATTTCTCACTATCCTTTACCGCCATCACCTCCACTTCCTCTGTGAATCGAAACGACTCAGGACCAATACCCGTAGCTGTAAACTAACTATATTTAGATATGAAACACAGTTTGTCTCAAAGACATCAAAGAAAAGCAAAAGTATTACCAGTCCTAATGTATGACTCATGACATGTATTGGCAATTTCTTCTGCAAGTTTCAACGTATCATTGCGTCTCTTTATATCATTTTCGTTTAAAGCTTCTAGAGCAAGCAGACCAACAATAAAGCATGCCAAATGATCCATTTTGTGCACTTCACGTTTTCCCTTTAGCTCTGAAGTATATTTTTCTATTTTCACCATGAAATGTAAAATGTTGTATTATGTGTAAAAACAGCAACAGTGAGAACCATAACTACTTTTAGTCGATTTTCCGACGCAAATGATTACTTTTGATAAAGTGGATACGGAAATCGGATATGGATATGTATGTTACTGTTAAAATTCGAGGACTCTAATTCTTTTCAAATAAAAAAACAAAAAACAAAAGTACAAACCAATAAAATATGCAAGATGATTCTGACTCGAATAACGTAACAAATATTTTTTTATTGCTGCTAATGCTGCATCATACATTTCTTTGTAAACTGTATCATTTTTACTTGATCTAAGCCATGATTTCAAAAGATATTCATAGAAACTATCACCCAATGCACCAATTGAGACATGCTCTGAACGAAGCCGCAATTGAAATTTTGAATTATAGTAGCATATTACAATATAGTCCAAAAGAATTAATACAATTAAACTGTCATTTCTTTACTGCGCTGAGCGTATGCATCTAACTGCATGCGACTGTTACAGAAGATAATGAGTTATAGACTTATAACATTGAAAAGGACAGCCGAAAATAATTTGAATTTTACGAGAAAAACTTACTGGGACCCCATTTTCCAGATTTTGGATGCAAATAATTCGGATAAAGACCATCTTCCGTCCTTACAGAAAGCACTATTTCTCGTATACGTGCAACCTGAAAATCGCAGTCAAAAAACCAAAACGTGGTCAAGACAAATAGTGCAACTGAAAGAAAGGTTAGTAAACCGACTTCTATCTTTACAATGAACACTGAAAGAAAAATACCGAATCGTAATTGTTTAAGTCTTTCCCAATCTTTTCTAGAAAGTAATGCAAGCAATATACATTTAAGCATGATGAACGTAATGCAAAGTACATTCAGTATGCAACCCCAACCATTTATTTGAATTCGAAGTCATGATATCCACCTCAATCAACAAATCAGTTTATAAAACCAAAGTGAAAGAACTTAAAAACGAACCTTGGTAGAGTATATGGAATTTTGAGTGAGCTGAGATAAATAATCTAATTCTAGCTGTAAAGAACCAAATTCCGATAATATTGAAAAACCGCCATTAGCCCAAGCCCAATTATGTGAACGACCCGAAACAGGATTAACTAGCGCGTGAGGTATACCAGTTGGTGTCTCAAAAGCTGGTAACAATATGTTTGCGACATTAGTTGCCTTTTGTATGTACATCTGTAAAAACTTAGCTTTTTTGAATTTCACTGACTCCGTAGATTTTGAATATGATATCTACTGTGGATAAAGAAAAAATGAAATCTTCGTGTTTTAAAATGTACATAGCAACTTTCAAGCTACATTATCATGGACAAAACGTTAATAATACTGATGATAAAACTATATAAGAAAATATTACCATCTACTTTTTTTTTTTGTAAATATGCTTATTTTAAAAGAAAAAACTTATCATCGCACTGCTACGTTCTTTGATCCAGATAACGAAAATAACTAGATCAGTGATGAAATGAAACAATTACCTTATCTTCAGTTAACGCATAAGCAGCCAATAAGCCCCCAATGAAACGGATATTTGTCTCGAAAACAGATATATCAGCAGTCTGAAAATAAAAAAGAATTTAAAACAAATAATTAATTCTCCCTTAATTTGTTACAGTATGATGACAGTTTATTTTAGAAAGACGCTATTATCGGTAACGTCTTTTTCCTAATTCTAAATTGCATGAAGGATTGAGATGCCTAACAGAATCAAAACAACAGCACCATAATCATAAGCGCAGTACAACTTGGCTTTGCAATAGCAATGAACGTGAACAAATCTCCTCAGATAGACCATTAGTCCAAAGAATTGTGAGAAATATCCAATCCTGTCCTTGAGTTTTTAGAATTGTTTTCAGGTTATTTTCTCACGTTATTTTTCCACTACTTCACGTTTACCAGTTTAGTTTATTTTTAGGAAGTTACATTTTCAAGCACTAACTGTGAGAATCTCGTCTTGAAATATTTGTTTTCTTTAGTCGCAACATATTGCCTTGGAACGGAAGGTCGACAGAAAAGCTTATTAAATTAAACGCTTTTATTTCTTATCCTCTACGCTTTTATAAATTATATGCTGCATTCCTTAACATACATGTCTTAGATGTATCATAGAACTCATTAAAAAACTCACGGAAACCTTCAGATCGAAAAAGTTTTTCACCCAGTTTCGGCCCTCCTCATACTCTTCTTTTAGCCCCATAATATACAAAGTATCGAGTGCATCCACAATGGTTGCACCCAGTTTTCCGTTACCAAATACTGATGCACTGTGCTCAGAGCGTGATAAAGGTTTTAATTCGTTGAAACCCCATGCATATTTCCGATAATTCTCCCAAGCAAATTTGGTCATCTGCAATAGGAAATGTGAAAAATTGGGAAAAAATTAGACCAAAAAAAAAATTAAATCTTCAAATTCACTACAGAACTCACTTAAAGGGTAAAGGATAAATATACCTAATCCTGATTACTCTTTCCATTTTCTAATTTATATTAAAAATTTGAAAGCTGGGATCATCTAGCTACCTTATAGTACCATTCTATACAACCAGTGAGTAAAAAAAAAAAAAAAAATCAAAAAAATCACCCAAAAAAAATTTCTGGGCAAAATGTGCATATTCAGTAATAAATTACATAGATTTTATCAAAAAACTAATTTTCGCAAATTTAAAATAAGTAGGAGTAACAATGCTTAAAAATCCCAGTGTTTCTGAGAAATGTTTTCGGAAACAAGCACCGAAAAAGCCAAAAAGCTGACGATCCCGAGTTCTAAGCCCATAAGCCCACTGGCTTAGGCAAAAATACAACAGCTCTCATATCACAAATGAATTCATCGAAAGGTTGGTAAGTCATTTGCTAAGTTCATGTATAGAAGAATGTTACTGATTACAGAAATTTGCACTTTATTGTATTTTTTTGTTTTTAAGTCGTTTGCTATAGCTTCGAATAATCGTCTCAGAACCCAAAAAATTGTAAAATTTATACATTAATTATGAATTGACAACGCTCAACAGATATGGCGTCAGATTCATCTTCCACCTTCCTCGGTTCCTCATCGAATTGACGTTCCTCTAATTCAAATCTCTGCTGCCGGACTTGAGCCAAAAAACGACTTCTATCACTTTGGAATAATCGTCCGGATCTGAAGAAAACTGAGGTGTTCTTTGAGCCCTCAAAAATATAAAGACTTCTGAAGTTAACAAATATTGAGTTACTAAGCCATTCGGCCTCAATACAAGAGGCTCAATTCACTTACAATCATCCACGCTGCACTTTGAATATTTGCTTTCGAATTTATGAAGCATAAAGCACTTCGTCCCGCCCAAAATTATTAAGTTAAAATATGGCACAGCGTCTTTACGCATTTCCAATATATTTATATGAAACTGGACATGTCCACTCCATTTCATTAAGGTATTATAAGCCGAGTGGTAAAACAACCAGAGTCTCAAAATGAGGATGCTGGATAAAAGAAACACAGTAATGACCTGAAGAAGCTGTCGTCACTGGATGGTAAATAATAGAGTGAAAAAAGGAATGAAAATACGATTACAAAGATAAGGACTGATTTTCTCCAGTAACGGACAACCATACTCCATCAGTCCTGAAAATCAAAAAATTTTGCTGAAGCAACAACCAAATGGATTGAAATAAAGTGGCGGGAAAGCTATCATCACGAGTCGGTCTGAAAGAACGGTATTCAGGCAGTTTATCACATTAACACATAACTGGGCTAAATATTCAGCTTACTTCTGGGCTTCATACCCAATTTTTTCCACATGCAGTACATGGCTAAAAGCTAAAATACACAGTCCAAAAAGGATGGCATTTGGTATTTACGCAGCTGGCATGAGCTTCCTCTCTTTCCTTTACTGCGTCACTGCAAAAATTTGGAAATTTCGTCATGTCACCATTGCCCCGATGAATTAGAATGAAATTTGTTGTGACAGTGAACGTTTGGTAATTTTTCGCTAATTCCTAACCATCATGAGTTGAAGCATTTCTTACCTGAGACTATTTTGCATACATGCCACATGAACAAGATTTCAACTCCTTATTGAGCTTTTGTCTGAAGAGATGTGAACAGTAGTACAATTATAAAGGGAAAACAAATTATCTCTATTTTAATATGTCCACTAGAGATTTATGTTATTAGATGTCAACTATCCACAGCTTACTTTATCTAGCCAGAAGCAATATAGCTGAGTATTTGTGATGGATAAAGAAGTCCCACTTGAAAGACAACGTCACGTATGTTAACTATTGTAATCAGCTCCACATTTACTTTACTTTCCGAATTGCTTGAATATTAGAATTAATTTATGGAACTAACCAATCTTTGACCTTACTATACTTAAAACTACTTCTCACGAAAGGCCATAGTATGTACGATTTTTACCAACAGACTACCAGTTACTACCACATTGCCTAGAAAAATATTGGCAAATAGTGAATATTGTCTGATCCGTTGAAGAGCATCATGGTCTTTGCGCATGGGATGGGGCCGCGTTTCCATCGCATTTGAGAATGATTAGGTCTTCGAAGGAGTTGACGTGTTTGTGTATATGGTATATTCGTGGAAGTAACAAATAAGTAAAGTATTAGCTGCTACAATTACCTGAATTGTTGTTTTCGGGCTAATTCGGCTTGTGGTTATTCCGATCTTTTTCTCGATGCCCATTCAAGATCACATCGAATTTTGTCGTTTTTCGTGGACTTTTAGAGATTAACCCAGCTAATACTTTATTTATTTGTTAGACGCTCTTAAATTGATCGTATTTGAAGTGTGTGAAAAGATCGTTGTGTGTTTCGTGATAAATAAACAACTGCTGAAATATTTAGTTCCAAAAAAGAATAAGTAGCGCATATGCCGTTAACAGTACCGGTCTTAATGAGATTTTTTGAACAAACTACTGTATTAATTTCTACAAGGAAGTGCACTATGAAATGTTTATAAGAAACGGAATTTTCGAAATTTGTACAAAATTCTACAAAAATCTATCCAGATAAGTAAGATAAGTAATTCCATATAAACAGTTATATACAATCGTATCCTACCATGTTTATCACGTTATATCACAATACGGAAGAGGAGGCAGTAGGTCACGTATTCGATACCTTGCTCGTAGTATGTGGCGTACATCGTTTTTCTGAAAGACTTTAATTTTTTTAACTACAGTCATTATAGAAGGGGTCGATGCGCTTTATTATGGTAGCATTTAACTATATTTCCTCAGAAATAAAATAAAAAATGTGCTTATTTTTACGTAACGTGTCGCAAAAACCATCTAAGATTTTCATTCAAAGCATTCTATATCTAAGGTTAGTAGTAATTTGTCAGGATATATTTAAGTTTGCTACCTGATTGGTAATCTGTTCTAAAAATGGGATTAGTTTCAATAATTCTTGATCGTCCTGTTGGAAAAACCAGCTTTCGATGGGTATACCGTTATCGATTTGATATGCAAATGATTGCAAGGAATTGTCGATAATTATTGTTTTTGACAGATCCCTACCCAAAATGGTTAAATCTTTGATGTAATTCCCATACACGAATACACAGTGCTCTCGAAAAAGTCGATGACGTATTAATCTCTTCCCAGGATCGAGCAGATTCTGTAAAAATATTAGGAATAAGTTTAGATGCAATTATAAAGTTTCACAAAATATAATCTAAACAGCTCATTTTTATATTTGTTATTTATATAATTTTTTTTTAATGGTGACCCGTTTTATGTTCTTACTATTTTATTACGCAAATCACCAATGGGATGTCAAACCTAAAAACATTTTTCTTTTGTTTCTCTTTATATCAAACTTCATGCAAACATTTGCATTTTAACAACTAATGTAAGAATACCAAGAGCTTTTATATGCTTCCAAATACTTAAGGTTTGCTGTTTTATGACCCGAACAATAAAGCCCGAACAACAAAAAAAAACTGAGAATCTTGGAATGTTTATACATTGTTTTAGGATCTCAAACAGCTTACCAAAAGTTTATCAGCATAAACACGTTTACTTGCTGTGAATAAGATGATTTCAAATGAGCGCGACAACCGTTCCAAAAATTCTTGCAAATGTGGCCGTACACGAACGTAAACCTTCAAAATTTTATGAATCCTGAAGTTTAGATATAACCAATTCTCAGGACCTACGTAAAACCAAGCTTCTTTTCGAAAACTCCTATTTTAACGATTTGTTACTAGTGTATAAGTATTTGTTATTATTGATCTCTAGCAATTAAAAAGTATAGTATTTTTCAATATGTGGATATGACTTGACTAAACAAATAAAAAAAAAAAGGAGTAACAAAACGTTATAGTCCTTTGTGCGGATAATATCAACGATAAATGCGGTTTCAATATTCAGAATAGTAGCACAGTGATAATGTTCTATGGTGATATGTTTCACAAGTGCCACGGCTGATAAATTATTCAGCAGCGAATTAATTCACTGTCATACTTTGCATTTGTTAGAAATTTTAACCAATATTCATTCAGGAAAAATTTAAATCAGTATTCATATCCTTCCCACTGGATAAAGCTCAATAATATCTAACGCATGTTTTTCTCTTTTAAGAAATGAATAAGATTTTCTCAACCAATATTTTTGTAAATATTTTGATGCAAAATTTGAGGCTAATTTTTTTCTGAAGCAAGGATTATAGATTTTAATATAGTTGTAATTAAATATTTGTCCAAAAAGCAGCAAAAAATTTGAAAAATGCAAAAATGTTGTCTTTCGGAATGTTTAGATTTAGTGAGCAATAATAATTTTACTTACTTGATAGGTATTTTCCTGGAAATGTACCGGAAACGTTAAAGAAGCATCAGGTAATTCGGTTAAACTGCAGTGTACCAATGTCTCGTCCTGCAAGATATCTTTTTCTCGTAAATCAGGACTGTTTATTCGTTCCTTTAAATCTACTGTGGACTAATCGTTTTTTAAGAAACTTTAGTCAAAAGTAGTGCTTTGGAGATATTACGTAAACTTATTAGTGGCCACTACGAAGTTTACTGAATAAAAGAATTTACAGGGAAACTGACCAAATCAAGGACGAGGGAAAATTCTGGTGTTGAACGCGTGCGGAGTGGCAACGCTGGACATCGGTAACGCATTTCGTCACTAAGCGGCGGTAGGTGTCGTAACAGGAATATTCTGCAATATAGCAGTTTTAATATTAAAAGTCGAGAAAAGCGCAAGTTCATTTGACTTGAACTTTTCTTCACAATCACTGAAAATAAGATTTCCCATAATATGTCTGTAAGCTGAGAATTTTAAACAGGCCTAATAAAGGATATAGCTCCGTATTATCTCTCCCTCTTCCCGATTCTTCTCAAAGAGGACTAGAATCATATTAAAAATATGAGACTATGTTAAAGGTAATAACATAAACGTTTGTTGCGGTAATTTATATATAACTTGATTATAGACCATTTCATTTACGATTGCATTAAAAAAGGATTTTTCTTCAAAAATTTGGTTTGTGCGTGAAAAAGGATAAGAGCTGGTGGTGAATATGGGCGAAGGAAACGGCAAGACTAAATTAGTCTTCTATTATGCATGATGAATAACAGTCATTGAACTCCATATTGTCGCTCCTTTAACTTTTACACAATGGGATTACCTTGATAAACAAGATGGTAAGAAAAAACTTACGAATCGGCATCAATGACTGGATAAACATGCCGAAATGCCTCAGTTTGGGAAGCGGTGCAAATAATTGGTGTATCAGTAGCCTCATCCTGTTGTTGTTGTTCACCTATACTAATAGTGGAGTAATCTCGGTGCAGCCCCTCCGAGGAGGGACCTCTCCTCTTCCGTCCTTCTTTCAAATTCAGCAAAGCTCCTATCTTAGCTATCTGAAATGACAGAATAATGTATGATCAACGTTGACATTACAACCGTGAGTGGGATTAATGATGACGATGATGATGATGATGATGATGATGATGATATAACGAGTTACGCAAAAGAGGATGACAACGAGACCATATGTCATGTTCTGTTCTGTTCCGCACTTTCCTGCATAAGTTGTGGGAGAGGAACACATCAGAAGAGAGCGACAACCAGCAACCTCGATCAGCCACAACGACGTAATATTATTGCAAGTTCGAAGGACTTGCATACACTCTAGAGAGAAAGATTGCTGCAGTCAGCTGGCTCTTGCAACCGCTAAGCAGGGCAGTAGCAATCATTTAACTAGTCTCTCCCAGCCACCGGTCGATCGATGTATACATACCGTGCTATATTGCTGCCTCCGCTATCCACCAAATGTTGATCGATCGATCGATCAACATGAAACACATGATGACTGCCTGCATCCGTGTGGCAGCCATCACAGCAGTATACACATCTCTTTCATGTTTACCGAATGAATACGTATGTATATATATATATATATAGGCATTTCTGTTTACCGGCCTGCATGCTTACTTGCCTGCATGTTTGACAACTGGCAATATCACTCTAATCGGTATTCCTTCATCTCGTTCACACTTCATCACTTCTCTGTCGTTTCGTCAGTGCCACTCCTGAATTGATATGTTCTTTTACCGCCTTTATTGACATTCTCACTAGATGAAGCTGATAAAGCTGAACGAATGTTTACGCCTCCTGGGTAATTTACCGAAAACCATATTAATTTCATTCACTTCTAACTTTCGTCGAACCATGTTAGCACCAATGAGAGCATTAAAGCGTCGAGAATTGACGTGTGATATCAACAGTGCTACTGACAGTTTGTGAGAACGCAATACTGTTTAATGTTAATTTCCAAGGGTGATCATACTAGGACGTCTTGATGTGTTCCTTACCGGCATCAGTTTAGCTTTTTTGTTAGTGTAAGTCGTGAGGAGTTTAATTTCCAGCATAGCGATGAACTTTAGTGCCCTTTAACTCAAACTATAGCTCTAGAGGCAAGATGAGAGGAACTACATCATTCTGTTGTAATTGCCCATTTCTTCTTTCTTATTGCTGAAACTGTTTAAAGATGGTGAAAAGAAGAAAAAGATATGAATCGGAGCAATTTGCGAGCAGTAGTAAGCGCTTCAAGAGTGAACTGGTGTTGCATCAAGGTGATGTCGAGAATTCATTCCCTAAGAATAGTAAGAGTTATATTCCAATAAATTCCGGTACTCTCTAAATTTTGAAAGCTATTTCTTGATTTGAAATTTAAAGATGTTTTGGAGACCATATATGGCCGAGAAAAGGAAGTGGCTTTGCTAGAAAAGTTTTTACATAAAGGCATAGTTAATCGGTGTCCTGCATCAATCTTTGTTTCTGGACCACCAGGTACTGGTAAAACTTTGGCTGTCAAAACACTCCTGCAGCATATGTCGTCACAGTATCGGTAAGTAGTATTACGATTTTGTCATTATGTTTTTTTCGATGTGTGTCGTGTAATGTTCATCAAGTTTTTATCCCGCAGTGACTATTATATGGAGAGACATTAATCACAAGATTAGTAACTGCTAGGTTACTCAATTTTAAAATCGACTATATTGAAAAAATTTATGCTACCGTGAACTTTTTCAGTGTTTATTTCACATATATTAACTGTGCTTCGGAAAATACTGAACGGGATATACTAACCGCTATGTTAAACGGTTATAGTAAATGCAGCAAAAGGCTTCCCATGAAAAAATTGCTTATGGAATTTCACAAGTTGCTTGCGAAAATAAACAAACATAGGTGAGTATTTTACGATCTTGTAGCGTATGATTTTTTTTTGTCATAAGCATATGATTTTAATTTTTTGGGAAAAGAATACATTGTTTCTGTTATAAAAATTATTTTAGCATAATTAAAAACTTTCCAATATGTTAAATATCAAATCACCCACCGTGACTAATTTTCAGTATTGTTGTACTCGATGAAGTAGATTGCATAAGACTGAAAGATCGTGATTTTGTTTGTTCAATGTTTCAGTGGCCTCTCATTTATGAGAATGTTTCACTTATCGGTAAGCGTCCGAATGACAGTCTTGCTCCGAATCGATGGATGAAATTATATATAAATTTATATATAAATTCAAAAAAAAAGATATGGAGACGGCTCCACACCTTTTTTTTTTTTGTTTTTTGTTTTTTTTTTTTTAATCAGTCCGTAATTTTTTGTAAAAGCCATCTTCTTTTGTTTAGTAAATTCGTTAATAAAATAGTTTTGAAAATTTATATAATTCGAAGTGCTGAACATATGCTATTTGCTCGTGAGGGGTTTCGATATTTTTGCATATTCGTTATCACTTTTAATCTGGAATATAAAGTGGAATAAAGTTCATTTCAGGTATTGCTAATACATTAGATACGATGGAATTGTTGAAGCAAAAATTGAAATCTGTACCAGAACTGATTATTTTTGCTCCGTACACTGAAGTCCAACTACAGGTTATATTGTCAAAGAAATTGGTAAGTTCTTGATAATAAACATAACGACGATTTTGATCATATCGTAAAAATTATAAGGCACTTGTCTTCTAGGATGTTTTCTTTTTACATTTAAAACTCGTTTAATTTTAGAAATCTAAGAACGATGGGGATGCGATCGAACTTTGCGCTCGAAAAGTAGCTGCGATAACAGGAGATGCACGAAAAGCAGTGCAGGTTGCGCGACGGTATTTTTTTTTCAATAAATTCTTTACAAAATATCAGCGGTTTTGATTACTCGTTTACTTATTTTAGTCTTTTAATGATAAGTTGCTATTTTTCCAATTTTAGTTCCCTATCGATAGATTTAGCAAATGGAAATACTTGTCGCAATGTCTTTGGAACGCTAGGTAGTGTTTATGGTTCTCCGTTGCTGCAAGTGAAAATACCACTACAGCAAAAGATACTTCTGGCAGCGATGCTTCGTCTCGCTGGTAATAATTCGTCTGCAACAGTTGAGAAGGGTTCGTGAAATTTTGAGTTTTTTTCTGGTATATGATATATTTACTAATTGCATAGTCAACAGTGGATTTAAATGAAATGATAAAATGTGTTTGTGTTAAATACTTTAGAATTGTTAAGAGATATTGAATTGGTTAATATAACTCTATTGAGACCTACATACAAACCTAAATCCTTCGGCTCACAGTGAGTCGTTCTCGGTATAATAGAAATATGTTGAAAATTAGGTATTTCGATCCTCAATGTTTGGATACGATATACTGCACTCTATAAGGCAGTGTATCCCATGTGCAGATTTTTTTTTTTTTTTCTCTTCATAGTCGCAATATAATTATTAGGTCGGATTGCTTATGGTTTAATTTCGCGGTTTTCGCGAGGGTATTGCATGATCATATTTTCATAGTCTTCCGTCAAATTATTGTTTTCAAAGTATATTAAAAATTTTCCTCTCTTTAAAGGTTCTCTGCTGTCGGCTTACAAGAAACTATGTAAACTCTTATTACTACCATCGCTTGAAATGGATGAAATACACGAAGCATTATCATTACTTGAGTCTCAATCGATTTTGAAGTTGAAACCGTCCTCATGTCAGTTGCTCGTTGATAAAACAGTAGCCGGAAAAATAATTGCCGATTCTTCACTGCTATCACAGATTAATACAATTTGTTTAGATGAGAATAGCATAAATTAATAGTATTTATGATTTAGCATGCTTTCATCTTTTGTTTTTTTGTTGTTACTGGAGCAATAATGCGCATGTATACGGCTTACATGGTCTAATCTCCCTAATTTGTTGACGGTCTATATTGTGCAAACTGGCAAATTTTTGACGTGATATATCTTCACCATATTACATTCAATCAAAAAAATCTTTCAGATCTTTTTTCGTCCGCTCATTTTCCATTTTTTTTTTTTTTTTTTTTTTTTTTGTTTTGAATTGCCATGTCGGTTCTCTGAATAAATTGATTGCATATGATGGCTCCGAGTGAAATATATAATATAGTACTTATATCAATAATACTTATATCTTTTTGTCTGATTAAACTGACAAAGATTTCAGTACACTTAACCTCGAGCTCTCCGGAGAATAACAATAACAAGTAATGCATATCAGCCTACAAATGTCTTATGTGAGTTATAATAAATTTCAGGATGCGACCATTATCGGATGAAGAAACAGAAATTGTTTTTAGGAAGTTGGCGCATTATATTGGCGACAATGTGAGATCACTGGTTGAACGAGGAGATGCCGCTTACTGTTTCAGATTACACAAGGTGGTGTTTTAAATTAGAGAAGCTAAATTTCCGGTTGCAAAATAATCGAGGATTTTTGAAGGACCGGGTATATTATTGCACTGAAACGCTGATGCGGAAAGCAGCTTGTGTGTCGCGAGAACCATTACTCAGCTTTGGTACATGTCTTGGCAAGTTCACGAAAACAAAGAAATTTCGACTGCATATCACTGCGCTTGACTATATAGCACCTTATGCCAAAGTACATTTTACAAAAAACTAAATGAAGACCAATAATCATGAAAGAGCTGACATGTGTAGAAAAAAAATTTTTTGTATTTCTTTGCTTGCTTTTTAAAGACTAGACGGACCTTAGCGTAATTTAGAGAGATTTTTCCGTAGAAATGTAATGCTTTATTTAGTGTAAAGTTTGGGTAAAACCGAGTGCAGAGCAACAGTTCTTGTATGGTAATAATGTATTGAAGTCGGGAATGAATCGAATGACAGAGGGTGCCGGATCGCACCAAGGAGCTGTTGTGTATAACATGAACGATTTACCACTCGGATTTGGAGTTACAGCTAAGGTAGAATGGATTTTTCTTAAATTTCTTTTTCGAAACCGGAGCGAATTTCCCAGCATGATTTGTTAGCTTTTATTAAATACGTATTAGCTTGTGATAAATGACTTGAGAAGCTGAAGTAAGCGTTTCATAATTCCAGATGCGTTATGTTAATGTTTTCTCTACTTTCATCTTGCGATTTTTGGAAATTTTGAGGTTGGACTGCAATTACAGTTCGTTTGTCAGATGTTCTAAAACAGAAAATTAGAATTAGGCAGTGAATTCCACTGCTAATAGTTTTATTTGAAAACGATGTTTATTTAGGGTACTGCGGAATGCAGACGCGCTGATCTAACATCTATTGTTGTATTACATCAGGCGGATCTTGGAGAGTATATTCGTAATGAAGCTATGTTAACTTAATATATTTCCACTGTAATAATGTCTGTCTTGTTTTTATTTTGGAAAAGTTGAAAAAAAAGTTCGTTTAAAAAGATAATACAAAGACATGGAGTTCAGGCAGTGATGCATTTGAATTGGATTCGACCTGTTCAAAAATCAAACTTCGGAATAAAATTTTGCTATATGTGCGCTGACACTCTTGGTTATACCCAAAAAATTTTCGGACAGGGCTGTTGCTCGTTGATTCTTTGGGAGTGAAGAGTAAAAAACTGTGAGTGCTGCAAAAGATGGAAACCGATCAACGATATGTGCTGCTTTCTGGATGCTGATCTGTGGGCATACGACAAGTTGCCGCAAGAAAACATCTTTAACGCTACGACGCTGGGTTTTTTTCGACGTTTTTTGGAATTTTTCAAAGCTCATTCCTGTTAGCTGAAACAGAAAGAAGAATTAGCTTTCTTGAGACGTCTCACTGATCCCCGCCTTGTATTTGTGCTATCTTTATATAGCATTTGGTTTGTGAAGAGGACGCTAACGACACCTGATGAGTACAACTAACCTCCTGAGAAACTGCTTTTCTTGCTAGTCGTTTTGCAATTTTAGATAAAACAAGTGAAGTGTGCTCCATACTACTGGTACGATAAACTAGAAATCTGCAATTCACCTTTAATGAATATACATAGCAGCATGAAAACAGTCATTTAAAATTATAATTAAGTACCGATTTTCTATATGAGTAGTAACAAGCGCTTGTTCAAGAGAAGGCACAGAAATTAAGGGTCCTTCCAAGATATAAACTACGTTTGGAATACCAACTGATATTAAGCGTTGTTTCTGTTCCTCGTACCTGGAATTAAGCGGTTTGATAGAACAGATGTGGTTTTTCTCGCAAGATATCTTCATGTCTAGGAAATCATCTAAAAACAACCTCTTTTGTACTATACTAGACCACAGATCGTCAAGTGTCTTACGTTCAACAATGGTGTCAAGCACCATCTCTGTACCATCACACATACGCATTACCCACAAGTAATCACCAACAGATAACGAACGCATCTCGTAAAAAATTCCCTAAAATTGGATGATTTTTCTAGTACATTCCCGGCTCAAATTATACAATTACAGGAATTTTATATTAGAATTTATTCACTGAAAAGCTCATGCTAGACTCATAACTGAAAATTTTTGAACTGAAGGCGTGGATAGTAATGGTGGTTCAAAATAAATTTACGGAATCCATTTACATTAACGCTAGAAATTCAAACACCTCCCAATCGGAGCTTACTACTGACCTTTTTCTGGAACAAACTGCACATTTGCTGAAATTTTCTCGTATTAGCACTTTCTCGATTGTCAATAATTAATATTATCTGAAAGAAATCGAACTGTAGTCAATGAATACTACATAATTCTGCATGATTTTAAAGACAGCCCACTTATCATCCTCACATTAATAGGATTGGAAAGTAAAATCATACTTGAGCATTAGTAAATGCAGAAGGATGGTAGATAATGCTATCAGCACATTCCTGTGATACTGTATAAACATGCTCATTTCTATCATCATCGGCAACAGAACCAATTAGTTCAACGTCATCAGTTACGTAGTTTACCATCTTAACATTGAGCGCACTAGGTCTTCGAATAACTTGTACTTCACCACAGTACGATTCATTTACTGATGAATTGCTAGTACCTTCGTTCTCCAGTGCTACTTTCTTCGATAACTGTAATGGCTGAACTGTTCTCATAACACGTTTACGTATGTGATTACGACTCTGCTTCACATTCGCAGCATCCACATGTTGAAGCAAGTGTTCCACAGCCTTTGATTTGAGAAGACCAACGCAGTCCGCGGATAATGTTTCCATAGTTCGAGGGAGCCTAGATTTTTTTTCCAGAAGATTTGAATGGTTTAAAAATTGTAAGAATTCTCCCTTTTTCATCTGATTAATCTGCTTCAAACTTGGTGTAGTCAAATTTCGTGAGCAAAATACATTCCACGCTTCTTCAAGTTTTCGAGCTATTTGATCACCAATACCTGGAATAGTCGAACATCAAACAACCACTAATGAATCCATTTGAATAATCATTAATTTATGAGTTAATGGCAAAAACATGATCTATAACACAGCAACGTTTACTTTGTACATCACCATGCCAGTGAATATCAAAGAACTGGTCGAATTTTAACTACAGTTTCATCTTCTCTGTTTTTGAAAAAACATATATGAATATATATGGCTACAGCGATCAAAACGATGTATTATTATTGCAGTTGTGCGGCTGCTTCTATTAATGCCTATCTTTTTCGACTTGTAACCAACAACAGTAATCAAAAAAGAGCATAATATCACAACGAAGAAAAAGCAGATTACCTCGGATATTTCTGAGATCTGTAAACGTAGCAATTTCTAAAGGATATGCTCTCAAACTGATCAATGCTCGGCATAAAACAGAACGAAAACTACGATCGCCCACGCTCTCTTTCCAGTCCAATAATATTCCTACATAAAATCTGTTTCGTGGAAAAATACGATGTATTTTCACCCGATTCATAGATGCTTCGTCACTATATAAGTGCCTGAAATCCACGCAGATGCAATACCCAATAATGCACAAAACCCCTTGGCGAGAAGCATTTTAACATTATTCAACAAAATAAGCTTTTTTTCAGCATGAGTCAATATATATGCTGTAATACACAAAGAAATCCTTGGATTTGAATTAGTGGACATTTCGAACAAGCATATGGTTGAAGAAACTCATTGTTCACACCGTCTGTCAGATTTTTCTTTGGCAGAACAAGAAGTGGGGTCACCATTACTATTGATGTCCGCAAAAGTAAATTAAAGGAACTGAGAATTATTGGTGGGTAAAATCCCGACAAAAATTTGTCTTTCATGCAAATGAACCGAAAAAAAATCAACATTTTATTTAAAAGAATCCAACAATGAAGAAAAATGCAAGATCACTGTATTACCTCGTCACTGTACAAGAAATGGAAAACAACAGACGTAAACGAATGAAACAATGACAAGCGGCACTGAAAATTCGAACAACTCACCTAATGTTGTGTTTATTATTGTGTGCACATATGGAAATTTAACTTGAACAAAGTGAAAAAATACATAAACTCGAGTAAAGTTTCTAAATGAAGTGGAAATTAAGCAATCTCGAAATTCTTCGCTATATATTTGTTATTTTCAATATACTTTCTCCCTTTTTTGTTGCTACATTCCCCTAATAAATTATTTTATAGAAATGTTATATGCTGATTTGCATAAAAGTGCAGAAAGCTTTGGCAGTTTAACCCAATGTGCAAATGTCTTCTAACAATAAGCATCAAATGAAAAACTGAATAATAGTAATCATGGGTTGAAACAGTTCTTTTAAAATCGTGAGAGTATACTATCGGTCTTTGCAAACACCACGAGGAACTTTAAATCTGAAGGAAAAAGAAAAAAATTTGAAGATTGTTAGGCAGTTTGGATAAAAAATGCTAGAAAACAGCACAAAATAAAAATGAATGAAAAACGAAACAGGAAATGGTTCAAAAATAAACAATGAACCGATTGACAGAGGTATAATTGACTGACCACACCGGGTTTTACATCTTCAACATACATACATACATACACACCCAGAGCGGCAAAATATTTGCATGTAAATAGCAATGTTAAAAACGGGTCTAACAGCTAATGAACAAAAACAGAACTACTGTTGAATCTGTTTCAGTCATAAGGAAGTTATGAACTACCATTGAAAGAAAAATGAATTCCAAGAAGACTTCTTGGAATTCATTTTTCTTTACACTTTCTTCAGGAACTCATGAGATGGACGTAAAAGATGGCACAGTGACTCTTGCATAAACGAATTTACACTCATCCTTAATATAATTCAGCGATCACTACATAACAAACCTTAAGTTATCAGTAGGAATTGTGAACTTTATTTTTTCGCGAGTACTGGCCATCTCCAAGCCGCGCCAAATATTCAGCTACAAACTTCCGCGCCTTATCTCGCACTGATTCTGTGACTTTAAGTTCCGTCTCACCGACCCGTTTCAATTCTTTCTCCAATATCGTGTGTGTCAGCTGCAAAACCAAAACACTTTGAAAACATTAGTGTCACCTATCAATACTGGTGAGAAATTATTCAGCACCTCATATGATTTGTTTACAGCAAGCATTTCGCAGAAGAAAAAGCATAAAATTAATTCATGCTTCTACAAAATTAACGAAACACTGCTGAAGTATCAACAGAGCAGACAGTCATTCGTTACTAAAAGAGAAAGTGAAATGCACCGTTACATCAAGCTATCCTGAAATAATAGGACAAAAACAGACCAGAATTTTAAGTAGTGTAAACTATCAATGATGTTGCATTCTCTTTAATATGTGAACATTTCTTTACAAATGATATTTTTTTCATCGTGCATAAAAGTTAAGCCCATTCGATAAACAATACATAAGATTGTAAAACATGTATATCTGAGATAAGTTTGGACAGAAGATTTAGTTCTAAAACCTTTATCTAAAAATCTAAAAGAGTCTTACTTTCCGTAAAACATATTTATAATCATCAGCAGATGCAAACTTCAGCTTTCGAATTGGTTCCAACATGCCACCAACATACTTCACTATCTCAACTTTGAATGTTGCACGCGTATCAATAGTCGTGGTGTCAGCTGAAGCATTTCCACCTTCAGATTCATCGGGCAAAGTCCAAACGGATTCCCTAAAAACATTATATATATAAAGATATGATCCACAGCTTTAAGGAATTTGAGAGCTCCGATCTCTGCATGTGCTATTTCTCATAGCTGTATTCATTGCTAGTAAGCATTAAATTTGTAATATACAGTACAGAAAAATGAAAAACAAGAGATTTTACAAGCAGTGATTTGTAAAGATTGAAAACATTTCTAGACATTGTAAAAAAAGCACGATATAATAAAGTAATAGTTAACACTAATGCCCACTGCACCTGGTTTCTTTATTGTAATAATAAACAGCTCCTTCCTCTGTTGTAGCCTGTATCCACAACGACTGCTTAGTTTGTGAAGGTGGAGGAGGCGGCGGCACATCACTCATTTCATTTGATTCTTGTGCAATCTTCCTTTGTGCATCTTGCAAACGTTTTCTGATTTCTGCTCGTTTTGCCTTGAGCGTTACCAAATGCTGAAATAGTTTTATTATCTGACAGTTTGGATTTGCATATACTGAAAGTTTACCTAAGTTGGAGAAAAACTGGAGCATTAGCATAATTTAAAAAAAAGAGACTAACTTTCTCGAGCATTTCAATATCTTCGTCTGTCGGGTTTTCTGCATCGATTGGACCAATTATAAGCATATTTGGTCTTTCTTCTGGAGTTTTGGGTCGTTTAGGCGGTGGCGGAGAAGGTGCTTCTAAGATATTTGTTATTTCTGTGGTATTCTGCAAGGAATCAACTGATTATACAAATTTAAAAGAGTTGAAAAAAAAATTGCTTCAATAAATTAAAAGAAAAAATGCTCTTGTCATCAAAGTAGACTGAAATTATCTTTCAGAGGCCAATACGAATCACCTGCGGAGTTAGTGGACATGGTAGTAATCCCATCATAGGATACTGTTGCTGCTGATAATAGTTAATAAACTGTTGGTAGGCAGCGGATGATGGATCATATTTTGCATATACGGTATTCCAATCGAAAAATTCCGGAAACGAATGCTCACTGTATGTGAAATTTACTGAATCTGGTAAACCGGCAGCAAATAATGCTTCCGGAAGAAGCTTTGGTGGTGGAGGAACGTAGAAATCACAATCCGCAGCATACAATTCATACATTGAACTCGGATTTCTTTCACCAACGATATCAAACCGCGAACGACGTTTCTTTGGTTTGTTTTCTCCTTCATCATCTTCATTAATGCGTAGTGAATCAGTTACAGTTATCGGTGATTGCTTGAAATCTTCATTTTCGAGATGCGTTAAATCTTTGACGAAAATTGGCAAATCGGCTAAAATATATTAAACCTCCTCACTACGCTAAAAAAGAGAAAAAAAAAAAACGTTCTCAAAATTAGTTTGCTTAAATCAAATGAGAATAATGTGAAAAAAGATAAAATATGAAATGTATGAACATATCATGTCCTATGGTAAAGAAAAGATTACTTTTGGGGAGGCGACGTCGGTCGAAGCACCGCTTTTTGGAGGGTGGTCCAAATCCACTTAATCTCCACAGGGTACTGCCATCATCCTTCTTATCTACTATAACTCGTTTGTTCCTTTCATCCTCATCAGTCTTCTAAATTGGAAGCAAAACATATGCGACTTTACAGTATGCGCAAAAACACAATGCATTTCAAAACTCAGTTAAAGTAAAAACAACAAACTTGAAAAATGGAAAAGACAGAACTTACCCGTACATAACGACTAATATCATGTTGAGTTGGAACAGGATCAGTGCGTTCCCGACGTGGGATTCGATATTCCTCACGCAAATTTCTCCACTTAAATTTTTAATAAAAATTAACAATTTGAAGATAAACTTGAGGAAGAGAACAGATAAACATATTTGATTTTTAAAAAAAATATATTTGAAACATCAACCTTTTCCATCAGTTTCGCAGCTTTTGTAACCATTTCGTAGTGTAAACGTTCTATTATAGGATCTGGATCTTTTAAAAGCGAATGCTTTGAAGTTGAAGGTATATCACAACACACCGCATCTTCTAATTTCCTTACGATATCTTCCACAATTTCATCTACTGGACCTCTCTACAAAATGAGTAAAATTGAATCAAAAAAAAAAAAAAAAAAATCAGAGAAGAAAAATGAGCAATGAAAAACTCACTTTACTAGTAATTTTTTCCACAGTTGAAGCTAGATGACTATCTATCACTTGATTCTTATTCACAATAGGCATAACGTTCAACAGATCAAGTGATTTGATTTGCAACTGAAGAACAGACTGCTCATCATCAATCGGGTAATCGGTAGCTAAGAAAACGTATAAAAGCCTCAGACCTGCAAGTATCAAGCTTTTGTTTTGTAGATCCAAATAATGAGTAAAAAACATCACAAAACAAAATTTTATAAACGCAACTTTATATTTTAAAAAAAAGTTTAATCCTGAAAAAAAGGTTTAAAGAAAAACTTTAAAAAAAAATACGGTCAACAAAACGAACCACTTTCTTGAATGAATAGCCGTAGTACATCAGGATGTGCAAATCGGATACACTGTATTAGGGAGGAACGCTGTGGTGCTTGTTCTACTTGTACCATTAATCTAACGAGATCACGAACTTGAGTGCGATTTCGAGGGGGTCCTCGTGACAAAGCATTCACTATTGCCTAAGCATATGCAACTACATACTCAAAATAAATTTGTTGAAAAAAAGAGATATATGATGCTTTAAAAAAAAAAAATGCTACCTTATTGCAACGCTGAGCTGATGGTTGTCTCTTTCGCTTTTTCGCACTGCGCAAACTTTTTTCCTTTTTTTCTGATTTTAATTTGCGCTTCGTCAATAAAACTTCATCATCCGTTCCACTTCCCTCAACTTCGGCTTCATCACTGATTTTGTCTTCTTCTTCGCTTTCACTATCATCACCTATTCGGCCTCGACAATTTGCAGCACCACAGAAGCATCGTTGTGCTTTTCGCCTAGATTCATTCAATTTTGAAATAACGATCCACATTTTAATCAGTGCAACCTGGCAAATTACATTTTAATTCCAAATTCCGTTGGTGTATGGAGTGCCCATTAGATTATTTACCCACACACAATTCATTTCATTACAAAAGAACTTTCTAGGATAGTAGCAGAAGCATGAAACTGAGATCTAGCATTCTAGCACAACTTGCAATAGTCTTCATCAAAAGATACTCCATACACCAACGGAGTTAGACATGAAATAAAAAATTACCCGTAACGCTCAAGTTGATAGTCGAAAACGATTTCCTCTCCCAACGCAATTGGCTTGATCACGAAGAAACCAACTCTCAACTGACGGTTAACTGTCCACTGCAATCATTTTTAAAAAAAATAAATTTCCATAACTATTACTCATCAAAGCACATTTATAAATATTAATACTACCAGTTCAACATATTCGTCTAATCTACTGGAATGTAAAAATAAATTTAAAAAAAAAAATGTAGTTATAGCTTATTAGAGAACCTTGACACTGTGATTTCAAAATAGGTTTACAGTAAAAGTCTTATTTTTTTTTTTTTCATATATAAATAAGTAGAAAAAAAGTTTTGATAAGATCAAACCAACACATGAGAAACAATATATGAAAATTATTAAAATCAAATTGGTGAAACTATGATATAAAGTTAACGGCCAAGTTAATATCATGTTGAAAGATGAAATGGATTTGTAGGAAAAATATGTTGGAAGATGAATTAGATTTGCAGGATAAAAGAAAGTAGCGAACTTACAAAAAACTCAAATAATGAAACTAACTGAACCCACTATGATTAAGCTAGAACTACTTATTTCAAAAGTCATCTTGATAAATTACAGTTGTCTCGGTACTCTTGTGCATTTCAGCATACTATTTCGATCGCCTTTTCGCAAAATCCATAGCAAGCGCATTTCAGGAAAACTCACCAACTTTGGCATTGCACTTCGGTATTCGACAACTGTAATTTAAAAAGACAATGCGAAATTTTCTAATACTACCAAAACTTTTCTAAACAGGTATTTCAGAGAAAAAAAGACGTTCAAGTTGGGATTAACAAATTTTATAATCTCTTTGAAATCAGTTCTTTTAAGATAAATGAAAGAGAAGTGGAAGCTAAAAAACTCAAATTGAATGGGTCGCAACTACCAATAAACCACCACAAAAAACAACACGTACCTTCTGACTTTCACAATTAGGATCACAAGAATGATTTATGAATCGTGAAACATTCCCTTTCGCAGTTGCATCTATCACAGCACCATTCTTTAGCGCCATAAGATAGTGATGTACATGTTTTGGGTCTTTACCATACCTGGAAATCCAAAATTTTTTTTCTCTAATTTCGGAAGCACTCTTTGTTCCAAATGATTATAATTCGAAAACAAATAACCTTCTTCCACGACGTATCATTTCCTCAGCATCAATAACCTCACCAACATATTCAATGATAAAACGTCCACTGAAAATTTCCAAAACTAAGGAAGTCTAACAAAAACAAAATAAATACAACCATCCTGCCTGGAAAACTCTAATCAGAAAGAGCTTATATTTTGCAAAACGTAAAACAGGAAATTCTGATCTAACAAGAAATAAACCTTCAACATTGCAGACATGACAAAAACAATGCTCACTAAAACAATTTGTTAAAACATACGGTTCAAGTGGTTCTGCAGCTCTCAATCCCCAACCTTTTACACCTGCATTGAATACTTCCACTTTCGCATATTGTTTCTGGAAACCAGACATGAAAAATTCCATCTTACTTTAAATTTTCATCCTGGACCAGAAAGTTTAACTACCAAAGAATATGGTACATTAAATAACTAACATTATGAAACCGCCTATTGGCGCATCCCGCCCCACTTGGACATCGTGACCCACATTCGGTATAGAGCTCTCGATTAATGCAACCGGAACTGCAACCACGACCTTCTGCTATTTCAACCGACGTCGGTTCACAAAAACAACGCACAACCTGCAGCAAATAAGTGAGTGTTTTCTTACAACTATCTTTTCCCGAAATAGAAAAAAACACAATCTAACTCCAAGTATTGAATTAATCCATGAACAGAATATTGGGGTATCCTACTTGAGCAAGTTTGGAAGCAATTCTGGATAAAAGAAGAAAATTCTACCTACCTTCGCCTCTTTAATTAAACTTTCATCACACAATATAATATTTTCATCCAAATATTCATACTGCACAGGTTCACCGGCTGACTTTAGCATCATAGGGGAAATTTCTAGCGTTGATGGATCAAGTTCTCCTTCATCCTCATTAAGATCTAACGCAGGTTCCGGTAACAAAGGTTCATTATTTGACGAACCAGTTGAATCAGCAGGTACATTTACAGTACCAGCGGTTTCTGATATCTGTTTCCGTCCTTCAATAGTTCGCAAAATGCCAAGATCTGATGAAGGAAGTGTTTTTGGGGTAGAATCGAAGGAATACATGGAAACTGATGTTGCTGATGAAACAGAGGATACTGAAGATTCTTGTTCACCTTCTCCACTTGTTTCAATTTTAGAAACATTCATCATCCATTGCTGTTGAAGAAAAGATAACGATTCTGATGGTAATTTCGTTTCTTTTAAGTGAGGTTCCTGCGGAAAATGCTTCGCAAACCACGACGTGACTGGTTTTTGTACGCTGGTTTCTGCAATTCTCTCAGTTTCATTACCACACAGAGTTCTCGAATCCATGTTCAAATTGTGATCGTAATGAAGCTTTGAAGAGGACAATACAATTTCTGAAACATTATCGTAGATCGATCCTAAATCTTTATTTGACGTTGATTGCTCTTCACTTGCTTTCTGCAGTGCCGTCATCTGTACACATTGATTTTCCAAAATTTTCATTTCATGCATTGCATAATTTGATTGGTCCTGTTCAGATGACAAAGTAGTGTTATCTTGTAATTGAACATTTGACTTCGGCTTTGATGAGCACGGTGAAATAGTTGCTCCTTCAACATCTGCGGAATGTTGAAGTAAAGATTTGGTGTGTAATGAACTTTCGCCTCCATAAGAATCTAAACGTTCAGCAACAATTTTTGAATTCAATGAAGCTTCTACACATCTCTGTGATCTAGACTCATCTTCAGGACATAATTTCGGTAATTCACGTGTTTCAACCTCCGGTTCCCAAATTTTCACATGTCCAGTAGAAAGTTCTTTTGGTGTTTTCGTGAACTTCCATTTAATTACTACTTTCCCCTTGTCCAATGTTGCTTCGGAAGCAAGCTTATCATCCGTAATGCGAGGTAGAAGTGCACAACTAATATTACCATACAGTTCAGATGGTTCAGGCGGCAAAGTTATATCACAAGGATCACATGGAAGCGCTATTTTGTCCAGCGACAAATCAACAAGGCTGCTATCTTGGTGATATCCATGTTCCGCTGCAATGGATATCTCATTACTCTCAGTATACTTCTCCATTATCGTACTGGAAGTTTTTAATGCAGTCGTCTCATTTGTTAACATCTCTTTTCTTTCATTTTCACCAGTGGTTTTATTATATCCATTTAACGCCTCATCCAAACTAGTAGTACATTTGTTCATAATGGTGTCACTTGTATTTGGCGCCAAAGCATCATTTAACTGAATACAGAATGGTGCTCCGACATCCCATCTCGAAGGCCTCTTCACCTCCAAACTCGCGACATTTCCCTGAGTATGCATACTGATTCCAATCGCCTCCGGCTCTTCATTCTCCACATCTCTTTGCGTGAGAAAATTTGAGGGTTTTTCCATCTCAGAAATAATTTCATACTCGTCCTTTTCATCGACATCCATATCGACCTAAAAAGAGATTTGAAATAAAAATTTATAAAAAACTTAACAAAAAACCTCAGTATAACAGAGCAACTAACTGACCATTCCTAATTATATTTGCATAGAGTTGCTGCTAAGACATTCTTCGTACTTCGTCGATCTCAAACAAAATTCATATTGAAACCAAAAAAAAGAAATCCTTTATATTTCTACCATCTTAACTTTTAGTTTTAATAAGGAACCATGTGCCAATTATTTTTAACTATGTAATATTTACTTGTACACATATCGGACAAATCTGCAAGAAGCGCTACGCTCGCACATTTCTAGTTGACTGGTTACATAGCAAAAGAAAAAAAATTTATCATTGACTTAAATATTGGACACAGATTTCTACTGCGAGAAACAAACTACAACCCACTCTAACAGCCCTTTTTATTTGTTATTATTCTGAATAGTAGTAGCAAAAACATTTTTCGCAATGCTTCCATAAAACATGGATAATTTAAGATGAAAAAACTCACCACATGCAATTTATCAAAACTCATAATAAAAATATAACACTTCAACAAGTCTTTTAAAAAAACTAGCTTCGTGTTTAAACTGCATTACAAACTTTCAAGAAGATTTAAAGTGTATATACATCAGTCCACGAAATGATAGAAAACTCCCGAAACACAAGGTAATTTCATCAATGTGAAATACACAAAATATTGATCAACATAAGTGAGTGGACGATAAACAATTTCTACTCTTACCAATTTTTTGCTTCGCAAAGAAACAAGTTTCTCCAAAAATTTGCATATAAAACTATGCTCTCCTATCCTTTTTACAGCAACTATCAACATGATCTGTAAAAACCTGTTACTCCAAATAAGTTGAAATTACTTACTATTTCAGTTGAATCTTTTTTGTCATCCACTTCTTCCACTAGCCAACGTTGTTTCATTAATTTGATACTCATGTCTTGTTCCCGACAGCAATAAAATAATAAATTATAGGGACATTTCCAATAAACCAGCAAGATCCTAAAATATAAACTTTTCTGTCTGAACTCGTTTGTAAAATAAGTAATCACACGCAGTATCGTTTCGGTAGTATATCTTATTTGGTGTCGCCAAATCCAGAAAAGCGAAACGGTATCAGGGCTCTTAGTGTATATTATTATATTGCTCTAGTTACAAACGACTGCGATTAATTCAGATATATCCAGAAAAAAAAAAAAAAAAACGTGGACTAAGAAATGAAGCCGAAGGAGCAACCGCTTTGAAACCAAGACTTTTATATTTACATATATGGATGCCAAATCACGATTTCTATTTGTAGAGATAGGTCTCTTCTAGGGGATTACAGGTAAAAAAATATGAAAAATATGCAGAATTTCCACCAGTTCCTGCAACTCAAAAAATTTTAATCTATTTTTCAAATCAGAGTAAATACTCTACAACACTGTTATCCAGAAAGAGGTGTAGCAAGTAAACAAAGAAATACTCTCTCCCATCGCGAAACCTGAATGAAAAAAATGTCCTAGAGGCTTCCTGAATATTTTGGATCTTTTACGACTGATATTAATGCCGGCTGAAAGGGTACTCGTGTTCTTTTTGTGTTTGCACAAGACATGAAGTGAAGATGCAGGAGAGGCAGAAACAGTAGTGTAAGTGGGCAACTTCCAATCAACAGCACATATCGATTGCTCTTCTCTCTCCATCTCTCCTCCGACGGCCATCTCTAAGCGTTACGTTGCCTTTCAGCTGCACTCGAATCCCCACCATACAGCTAATCCCTTTTCTCTCCTGAAATAACATCTCGTGAACTCAGAATAAACTGCAGATAGTATCGTACATATCACAAAGTAGTAAGCGAAATTATGTTTAAAACTCGTCTGCTTGTTGACAACAAGAAGTATGAGATTATACTTCAATTTTTAATCTCAAAAGCCGCTCATTAAGAGTCAAAATCATTTTTTACTCAAAATATATTATTCGGAGTAATTAGAGATTGACTTGTGGTCGAAAAGTTCCAAATTCACGAATGTCGAATTTAAACTCTTTAAAATTCAACGAAAGAGGAAAAACACGAACCCTTCACAGACTTAGCAGTATGCGTTCCACGATGTCTGAGAAATGCAAATCTCATATCTCTACTACATCGATTAACAACAGGACTGTCAGGATCCTGTAATTTCAGCACTCTGTTTTGTATTTGTAGAGAACAACAAACTAGATGCACCGTACATATTCACATATCCAACTATTTCGTCAGATATTAGGCTGTGATAATTCTTATATAGTATAGCTTGTTGTGTAAAATTTCGGGTTTTTCCATGTAATGCATTTAAGGCATAGTTTGACTTATTAATAAATGCTTACTAATAATAACATTACAATATTGTGGTATTCAAAGCGTATTCGTAAACACTTTTAAAAAGTCATTATATTCGCAAACCTATTTGTTAAGAAAATATTTGCTAAAACTTAAAATCGAATCTTTTATAAAAAGTACGTCGTCAAGTATGTGTCATCCCTATAATTCCATATTTTTTGGTTGCCAACACAAGGATGTTGTCTATAACAAAGAAACTCAGATGAATCTTGTTGCATTTAGCATGAATATCGAAGATGCAGAGAATGTCTATTCTCTCAAATGTACGCTATTATGCTGTAAGTCTTGGAAAGGTAAGGAATCGCTCGTCGTCATGTATAATGATATTAAACCTGATGAAACAAATACTTTCTTTCTACATGGTACTGTGCAGTCCCTGATAAAAAAAAAGATACTAACTTTTCCCTACTAAAAACACTCCCTAATAAGACAGATACTAACTCACCGTTGCGTCAATTAGAATAACCAGTCGCCAGCACCGATGGATCATCCATTGTCACGCTCTCATTGAAGACGAATCGATTGTACGTCGGACATAGGCCACCGACATAAGCCTTCCTCCAAAAGAGACGCACAATGAAAAGCTGTTGTCGCTGCTTCAGTTTTGGGTATTTGCGTAAACTTTTTAATGGCAGCCAATAGGTGTGTACGTGGAAATATGTGTCACCACAATCATACGTTGTCACATTCATTTCAGAACAAAATACTGAGAAACTTCTGAAAGGAAGAATTTCTCGAGATGCAGATTGTTCTTATTCATGCTTGGAGGATGCAGAGACACAAAACATCACAACAGCATAACTTGAAACAGCTATCTATTTACTCAACATTAGAAAAAAAAATTTTTTCAAAAATTCAAGTTCATCATTTATAATTTTACCATCACCTTTTGGAAGCCTTCTTAACCCAACAGGTGAACTAATCTTCAGGTCATTTCATTCGTCCAGCTAATATTTCAAAGTTTTCGGGAATATCGAACTGGAATAAAAGTTCTCTATAAATCTAGATTTTAAACTTGAAATACAGGTGCAAAGAAACCAGATGCAGCAGACACATCAACAGTTATATGGAAAAAACATCATTTATTACTTGTCATCATTATCAATGATTAAAGCTTTTTCAGCTTTCAATCTAACATCCGAGCACTCAACAAAACGAAGCTGCTTTTCTTCTAATTTGAAAATCATGTCACTGCCTATAGTAGAATTCCATTCAGCTGTAAAGAGAGAATTTGAAATTTGTAGTATGGGATTTTCCGTGTTGCATCGACGTATAGCACTATCACTTCGGTTCAAAGCCTGTCGTGCTGTGCTTACATCCATTATACCACCAATCTCCAATATCAGTGTTTTTGATTCCCATTCTTCATCTTGTTCTATGGCCTTATTATCGTCTTTATCTGAAAGATTCGAGTAATAAATTTTATTAGAACTAAATTCATATTACAAAAAACACATCAAATATTGCTATGGTATATCAATACACCAGTACACCAGCTTCTTTTACGCAATAAAGAATTCGTCCAAAAAATACCCTCTCCACGAATCTCTGACATGTTGGTAAGCGTTTTTGCCAACTGAAATCTTGTCCCTTTCCTGACCAACGTTACTGAAATTACATTTATCCTTGATTAATTACTTTTTGCTGGTATGATTGATTCCTAAGATTACTGGTCACAAACTTGAAATCCTTGTTCAGAAACCTACTGAAACCAAAAAAATTAACTGGAATAATCTGCTACAGTTCAACAAAAGAATTAAAGCATCTGCAATGTATCATTCGCTGAAAATATGCATTATTGAGGTAGTCGATGGCATATATTGATCCAAATTACCTACCAAACGATGAAGGAATGGTTGAGCATGAGTGACAGTTTATTTCTCCACAAAAATTCAACAGTTGGGACAGACACTGTACCACATTTATTTTACAGTGAATAACAATATTCAAAATCAATAAAATCAGCTCCTGGAGGCAATCTTTTGCAGAACGTTCATAATTAAAGGATAATTGGTGACATACTCGGTACGGCTAGATGAGATAACAGATGAAATATAGGAACGCATAAGAGATGACAAGAAATCCAAACGATCTGTTGCACCGTGACCCAAACACCATTTTAAATATTCTTCCAATGACCAATCGGCTGATATATGCGGCGACAATAGCGATTCCTCACTCATACTTATCAACAACTGTACAACAAACCAAAAAGGCAATGATTCCGATTGCGCTAGCTGCTCTGCGGACAGCTTGAAAGCGTCAACAAATTGGGGTATAGCAGGCATAAGAGAAGACGGAACACTGTATAACGAAAGCCCATGATCGGCAATATATTGCAAATCAAAAGATAAACGTGAAAGCTGATCTGAATAAAGAGGTCGGAGAAGAGATGAATTCATCAAAAATAACTCAATCACATAGTCCAAAAACGAGCTGAAAACTTCTTCAAAACCAGCAAACTTCAAAAAAGATGAGTGCGACTGCAAAATCCGAAGATAGTTGCAAAGTTCCTTCACATATGGAGAAGGGTCACCTAACTTTTCGTAGTGCATTGATAACAAGATCGTGAAAACAGATGAACGTGCCACATCCATTAGCGCTTCTCGAACTTGTTGAGAGATTCGTATTAGAGATTCATTGTGCTCCGGCCAAGATAAACTTAATATGTGGGCCACAGAGACTAAAGCATAATTTTGCACCTAAAAACAATTGTAAGGTTAGCATTCTTCTTATCTGCACTTTCTGTTTTCAGAAGGGGAAAAAAGAACTTATTATAAAGGATGGATCTCATTACACTGAGATACTGTATTCACAGAAAAATTTACTGGATCAGAAACTAGTCGATACAAAGCCACTAAGACATGCATAAACCGATATTATTTACTCTTTTATTTCATGCCTGCTTAATGCTCCTAAATCACTATTCACTCTGTTCAGTATAAAAATTCAGAAAATACAATCCTTTTTTCTAATATATTGAGATATCTTAACAACATTTTACAAACTGAAGATATGTTTGTATCGATCAAGTAAGTCCATTCCATAAATAATCTACTATTCATTTTCACCTGCGCAGTGCTAAGTCGCTCACTCATTTGAAGCGTAGACAAATCCAAGATAAGATGCTGCTCAATCTTTTGTGCAACATACTGCAGCACTTTCGCCACATTCGTCTCCATTTCTCTTTTCAGCTGCACATCCCATTCCACACCTCCCAGTTCCTCTTTAATAGCGGAATCAATCTTAAGAAAATTTTTTCTGATATGCAAAAAGTCAGATTAACCAACCTCATCACTGATCAAAAGCGTAATAAAATGGATATATTAAACATACTCTCTCCACAGAAAAATTCGCTAGATTATTTTCTTCAAAAGCGTTGTCAACTGCTTTAAACATTCTATTAAGAGAATGAGACAATATAGCTCTGCGTAGAGGCCGAAGACTTTGATCCAATGGTTGCATAGTTTTAGCGGGATACACAGATACGATTTTGGACAGATGATGTACAAAACGAGTAGCATATGAAGCGTTTTCAGAAACACGTCTTGAAATGACTTTTGCAAGCCTTTCACAGAATTCTACAATAATTTCCGCGCTTAACAAAGAATACTGCTCCAGTAACATCTGAAAAATAAAAACATTTGATATCTGTAAATATAACCACTAATTCTAAAATTTTTTGAACTAAGAGAACTCAATTTTTAGCTGCTTAATCTATAAAGAGTTCCATAATGTACAAATTAATACAAACTGATTGCAAGTATTTACATAACCACAGTGAACAAAAGCATACCTGAATCTGATTTGCTATCTGAGGAAGAAGTTTTGCTGCCATTACAGTGCTATTATTAAGCTGTAAAAGCTGATTATCTAGGCTTTTGATATTATCATCTAAAAGGCGACTGATCTGAAAATCCAAACAAGCAATATTTTCATTCGCAAAATTACTGAACCACACTTGCAAATAGAAAAAGAGATTCCTACATTCTTTTAGAATATGTACAAATTATATACAAATTTTAGAATATATACAAATCATATACGAAATATATGCAAATTCTGATTAATGAGCTACTAAGTTAGCCGGTATACAATGCTTACTTCAGATTCATATAAAGATAGATTATTCAGTGCTTGAATGCAAGAAGAAACAAGTGGTGCACTGAGACTTTCAAGCGAAGATCTTAGATGACTGGCTGTGTTTTGTCTGGCTTCAGCAATTAGTTTTGGTATCTGCAAAGGATTTTTTTTTTTGTAAAATATAAATTAAAACAATTATAATTGAACTTTTTTTTTTAATTCTAAAGATCTGATGGAATATGAAAACCATAGCACTGACTCATACCAAGACTAAGACCATTTCACGCGTACTGCTCAAATCTTTCAAAGATGGCATCTCAGTTGTAATTGCTTCTAATTCGCAAATTATTTCGGAGCGTTTTACCAATTCGTTTGTATTTCCAAGTTTCCCAACTAACTGTTGGCATCTTAAAAGGATGTTTTAAATTAATGACTGGTATATTCACCCACATCTGATAAAGATCAAGACACTTAATTATACGTACCTGTTAGCTGATGCCAAAGTCCGCCTTAATGCATAGAGCTGTTCAAGTCTACTTGATGTATGACATAACTTTTCATATTCAAATTGGAATCTTTCACCCAGTTCTTTACATTTTTTGTAAAGATGAGACATCCCATGGTTTATAGTTGTTTGTACACGATCCAAATTTTGCAGAGCGCTTGCCTGTTCCACCAAACGAGGATGATGTTGCTCAACCTGAGAAATTATAACTGAAAAGTATAGAAAAATGTCGCTTCATTTGAGCCATAATACTTCATTTCGAAAGCGAAACAAATCTATACCGTTAAATAGAATAGTGTAAAACTTACAGCTTCCCGGATCTGTCGACCAATATTTTCTTTAACAACATCAATTTTCCCCAAAAGAGCTTCTTCATCAATTTTAACTGCTCGAACCAGTTTCTCAATATATGCATTCCAATCGGACTTACCCCAAATGCAATCCTCCAAGCTGTCTTCCATTTTCATCAAAAAAATCAAAAATTATAACTAAAAAATCACAATGATAACTTAATATATAATAGCTAAAATTAAAGAAGCTAGTTCTCGGAATTTTTCAACTTTAATTAGATTTCTTATTTACAAACTGAATGAAGCATTCTGAATGGAACTTTGAAATTATTAAAAACAATAAAAAAATACACAATTACTATATGCTTGAAGGATAGGTCAGAAATTCACAACAGACTTTTTTCTCTTTTCCTTACTTAGCCTAGTATAAAATAACTGGTTTTGTATAACCACCTTCTTTTCAAAATCAATTCAACAAATATTCATTCAATATAATTCAATATAATACAAACGTCATAAATTTTAATCAGATTATACAACATCTTATGTCCGAATAGTAGCGACAATAAGAAATTTCAAGATCATTTCAATTTTGAATTATAATTAGCTCTTAACCGACTAAATAAAAATCAAGAAACAATATGGTCAAAACATAACTTTTCATGCAATTCCTTCCTATTTTCGAACAGTTACTGATGCTTAGACATACAGAACCATTTTTGAAGTGCTAATTGCACAATATCAAATTAATGTTTATCTAAGATTATCCGAGCAAAAAATAAAATCTGATATTTCAGTTGCATGAATTCAAGGAACTTTGATATGATGTGATAAAACTTCAGAACCTTCAAAGACTACACAAATCTTACCATTTAATTTTTAATTATACATAATAATTTTAATGACAGCATACAAAGAGCATCACTGCTACTGTCTGATAAAATTTTCAAACCCTTTGTCCTTGATATCCTTAAAGGAATCCAAATTAATTGGAGGGAAAACTTCCCGAATTATACCACGAGCAATCGTTTTTTTGCTGCTTTCTCGGATTGTAAAAGGCAGTGATTGCTTCACAGGCATTCTTTTGACCAGAACCAAGTAAGCCGTGCAATGTTCCCCAGGCATTAGTATATCAGATTCCAGATGTAGACGTCCAGCCTGAAAATCAGTCTAGCTGTATTTAGAAGTTTAAAGTGCAATTATTGGGACAAAGCAAAAGTATGAGTCATAAAAAAAGATAAGCAAACCTGATCCCATGTACTACAGAATATCTTTTCAGTATAACCAGAATGCACCGCCAAACGTCTTCCACCTTCCTTTTCAGATAACAAATACAACTCAACCTAAAAATTAAGAAATAACTAGCACTAAATTCCTTTTTCTAAGAAATTCTGAAGGCTATTTTGATCACACAAGTACCAAAGATATTTAAATCGAATAAAACACCTTAAAGAAGTTTGATGTAGTAACCGCATCCACGGCTCCAAGCCACATACCTCTGTTCACTATATTCGCTTTGACACCACGGCATAAAATACCACAGTGATCTCCAGCACAAACCTCAATTATCAAATTTTTTATTACTGCAGTTTGTATTTAGTTTTATAGAAATTTACAGTGAACTTAAAAAAGTTGATAATCAAAGATCTCTGTAGTTGAGTACATCATGATATGATTATATATACAATTCCATACTTACTTTAAAAGAGAAACTTCAAAATTGAAACCTACAAAAAATTTGTAGAAGACATTTCCAATATAAAGGATAAGGATTCTACCGGTAGACTTTATTTTAGATATAATAAAACTTATACAAATTTGCTCACTTCAAGAACACTTTTTTTAAAAACTTGTATATCTGAAACAACGGAATGAAGGCATTGATCTTCTCCCTTGATTTCCACTTTATCACCTTTCCTGACTTTTCCTTGTTCAACCGTTCCAACAACAACAGTTCCTCTCCCAGTAATTGATACTCGCGATGAAATAGGCATCAGAAATGGCCCATCCTGTAAAAGAATAATGATATAAAAAGAAAATTACCTGTTTCACAAAAAAACAAAAATTGTTAAACAGTAAAAATTGTTTTTCGACCCTCTGATAACATTTTACATGATTGCACTAAATATGTTCTAGTTTATAATCTCATCCACAGAATCCATTGAAATTAATAAAAAAATCAATTAGCTATTAGCAGAAATGAACAACTTGCAGCCTCATCGGGAGAGGAATGTTGTCCAAAGCCGAAATTAACTTTTCAATGCATTCTCCATCACTTCCCTGTAAAGCTTGCAATGCTGATCCCTTCAACACAACAACTGATTCATCTACAAAAATATAATAAGTTTTTTGAAATTTTGAAAAAAATTTAAAATAGTTTGCAATTTTATTAACTTTCCAATGCATTCAACATCACAGCAAAATACAAATGCCGAAATCTGTATAAATTCAATTTATAAGCAGTACTACATCTCCAGTACTATAAAGAAAAGTGATACAAAACACACCTGTGTAACCGTGATGCTCTAATAATTCTCGTGACTCAATCTCTACTAGTGTAACGACGTCATTGTCGACCAAATCCACCTTATTTATAAATACAATTATGCTAGAAACACCAACTTGTTTAGCTAATAAGAGATGCTCCTTTGTTTGTGTCATAACACCATCCGTTGCAGCAATCACTGAATATCAGAATTTTTCTTTAAATTTTAGAAATCTAAAATCGGATTACTACAAATGTTTTTATGATTTCTCTGCTAAGCATTGTCGATCAGCTAATTTTAAAACACTTCAAATTTGATTTAAGCAAAACTTTTGTCAATTAACGTAAATTATGCAGGCTAATATATGAGGTGAAGCTTAATGACTCAAAAAACATAATTTTTTATGGAACAGAAATTGACGTTTGGTAATGTCTTCATGAATCTTTTAAAATTCACCTAAAATAGCGACATCCATCTGTGTAGCACCACAAATCATATTTTTGATAAAATCACTGTGCCCGGGACAATCAATATGAGCATACCGCCGTATATCACTTTCATAACCAATATGTGCGATATTTATCGTTATGCCCCGTCTTTGTTCTTCTTTTGCCTTATCAATTTCCTCGAATTTGACAAATCTTGTTTTTCCTAAACACACGGTATTCCCTATCAACTAGTTGACACCCTTCTTAAAAAAAGGAAAAAAACTTCTCTTTCGTTTTATGGACAAAACGAAAGAGAAGTTTTGAGATCAAACCCATTTCTGGAACTTAAAAGTCAAAGGATTCCGTGACCTGCCCCCGAGATTATCAACATATCAGTTCAACCAGTAACTCATCGACAACAAATTGAAAACTTGAGGAGGCAATTTACCTCTGGTGGACAGAATTTTGGTGATAGCGGCAGTTAACGTGGTCTTTCCGTGATCTACGTGACCTATGGTACCAACATTCAAATTTTCCTTCGCAATTTTGACAGAATTCGAAGCATTTGTTGCATTCCTTGTGATACTCGAGAAAAGTAGTGAAAATGTTGAAGAGCGGAATACAGAAAATCGTTCAAGTTGGCAGTACATAACAGTCATAAAGCGTCCCAGAAATTATCAATATTAAATCATATAACAGGAAAAATACCATTTTATAACACTAACTTTTTTCAAATTCACATATCTGCTTATTGTCTTGAAAAGATGAACCTGTTCCAAAATTTTCAAAACTCTATCTGAGTCACTGTCATCTTACTCATTTCTTATATTCGCATCATGGACCATTATAAATTAACCAAGCAATCAAAATCCAGAATACTCACCTCCTCCCCCACCCCTTTCCACTGCAGCTTTGATCTGTCTCTTGCAAAACAACCACTTGTGGAACTGGTTTGTTTCACAGGCCACTTTGTATCACACACCATTTAAATTCCCAGTCTCTGGTGAAGCTGGGGTGTGAGGTGTTCCATGCTGTAAAAGGCTCCCTTTCACGGGAGCTATGCCTTACTTCGGGCCGACTATAATTACTTCCGTGTTTATAATGTTTAGCATCAGTAGATGGGATCACTAGAACATAACGAACATGTATTTGCTCGTAGTTCAAAAATGCAACACAGCTGACTGAGGAATGGCAGAATACATTGCCTAAACTTTAACCTCCTATTACATTATTACACATTTCAAAAGTGCATTACTGTTTGTACTTCACACACTTCCAAACAAGAAAAATTAATTCTTCATTGTAAATTCTCGCTACAGTAATTTCCCGATAGTTAATTCAAGAACATAGTATTTACTATATTTTTAAGAAACCTATTTAAAACCGCCGAAGCATTCATAACACATTCTCACATTTCTACCCCAAATACTGTCTAATATCTTCCATAGATTTCCTTTTTAACTCAAAATCAGACAAACTTTAACTAAGAGAATAATCTTGTTTATATTGCTTCCTCATGAACAGTGTGAATAATATATCCGATGGTGAATTTATCTCCAGAGTTTAAGTTTTTAGAATTTTAAACGGAAAAGCATCGAAAAGAGGTCATCAGACAGCAATGTGTGATGTAACCGAATTTTTTCTTGAATTCAGGACAATCAAAAATACAGGCAAAACATAATGGACGAACATCGACAAAGGTGAAACGCAATAACAAATAAGAATTTTAAATGTACAAGCTTTGAAGTGAACATAAACCTTAAAATTTGAAGCCAAAAAACAACATGTACAAAAACAAAAGAACACATACACAAAGGACGCCTTATATTCACTACACCCGATAACATGGAATTTGAATATTGCCTCATCCCACTGCAAAGCATTCTTGAATTCCACACAAAGTAATCGGTATAGCAAAATCTGATAGCACTAACATTTCGAAATATTCAGCTTTTGTTATAAAAATGTCAATGTTGTTAAATGGGAAATAACTGAAATGGGGCGAAGGCAGTGAAAAAAAAAAAAAAAACAAAACCCAAGAGAGAAGATTAGAAATACAAATAATCACAATAGTAAGTGTAAAAAAAACCAAGGTAAAGACTGAAAAATGACACTAGGCGATAAAAGGCGAGCCGAGTTTCAAAGTATAATGCAGTAACTGTTAAAATATGCTTATAACATCTCGTTTTTTAGCATCCTTTTAGGCCAACAAATGACTGGAACTGCATCATCATTTTTGCTGTGGAGTCTTTCGCCTTCGTCGTCGGAAGCAACAACACCTAAACAATTATTTAAAAGAAGTTAAACTACCTTTGTTTCTTGCTCCTAACTTCCACTATCTGATCAAATCCAAGAAAGAGTTCTTGTACAAATAAAATTTGTAAACTTTACATAGACAGTGTCAATAAATGTGAAAAAATCAATTTACTTCACTTCACTATTATCTTCTAGGTGTGTGACGGGTTGTTGTGACCGTCCACCATTGTCTTCCATCACTTCGCCCACATTTGAATTGATTACCTCAAAAACATACTTTCCTTCATAACTACATATTTTACAATAGAGATAGTAGCCCTTCAATGTAATAATTAGATGTTAAAACTGCGTTTTTTTCTTGCTAGAAACAATTCACTTAAGCAGACTCTTTGGCAACATGAAAATACTACTTGAAATACCTACTTGGGTAGAGCCAAAACCACCCTGTTGTACAGCGCCTTGATTGGACGGTTTGAGGGTTTCATTTTGTCGTCCTTTCGTAATACCAGCCCGTTTTCCCTCTCCTTTGTGTGCTTCACCGGCATGAAGAGAACCCGAAGGAGTTGACTGTAGTATAAAGTGTTAAAAATAGTGCCTATTAAATCATCCAAATTAAAAACCATTTCACATTACTAAATTACCAGGAAGAATGAGATTCACATACATCACATGCATCTACAAAACTGATTATAATAAAGTTTCTATCGCTACCAATTCTAGCCCAAATTCTGCACTGCAAATTTCGACAAGGAAATCAAGTTGCAAGTTGTTCCAAAGAATATAATCCAAAAAGTTTTGTCTTTACATACTTAACAATTAAAAGAAAATTCATATACCGCTTGATTGAGCTTTAGAGTCCAATCAAACTCGTAATCGTATGTATAACCAAGTCTATCAAGCACTGACTTAAACAGATTATAACAATATTCGTAGTCTGGCGCTTCGAAGAAGTCTAATCGACGTGCATATCGTAAATACTGAGCAAATTCCTCTGTAACTGCACCATAATGCATAAAAACAAATAATTACTCTAGATATTTATGATAACGAGCTCCAATTACTCAACATTCAACACACTAAACTCTTTTTTGCAGGGGATCAGCTATAGTTATAATTACAATTTATATTGCTTTATCAGCTTGATTTTGCATCTAAAGCTATTTTAAATTCTCAAACAATATAGTGAACTAAAACAGCAAACAGTATTATCTACTTTTTCAGAATGATTTTAAAAAGAGATAATTATATAGGAAATAAAGAGACAACTGTGTAGGAAGCAGGGCGCCTAGCTTTGATTCTAAATACCGTCACTGATACAATCTCAGTAGTGGTACAGCGTTAATAATTAAGTAGGTGTAGTGAAAAATCATACCAGGAAAGCCCTCGCAAAGTACTTCAATTGGAGTTGCTCGTTTGGTATCACCAATCTTTTGATACCGTTCTTTGAGAGTATCCGCCTTAAGACCTTGCCAAGGCAATGATCCACGCAAGAAGTACATGAACATATGCCCAAGCGCTTCCAAGTCGTCCCTTCTACTCTGTTCTTTACCCAGATGTGTGTTTATTGACATGTACCTCGCCGTGCCTGTCAGTGACTTATGTTCCCTGTATGCAATGTGCTTACCTGTAATTGACTTTTTTCATTTCATTTGTTTCAAATGCATTCAAAAGTTGTAAAAAAATCGAAACGAATTTCTTCCACCCATCAACTCTGCTTCTACTTGACCACCAAATTATTGATAGAGTTACAGCACAGCTTGCAACTGTTCGGATAGTGGTACAAAGACTGAACATAACCAGCATACCAATAGCCGAAATCATGAAAATCAATACCGCCGTTACACAGAATGAAGTTACCAGTATCACAATCAATGTATTCTTTTGCAAGACCGAAGTCGATAATATGAAGTAAGTGCTGCTTCCTAGTAGAATGCCGTCCGATTAGGAAATTTTCCGGTTTTACATCTCGATAAATCAGATGCTTCATATGTACATATTCAATGCGCCTCATCTATAAAATAAAAAGTAGAATATTTCAGCTATAAATTATATATGGGAAAGTTAAGTTCTTACAAGGCTATCGAGTTATTGTGCTGAACTATTTTGCTTTCCATATTGCTATAATAGTCATTATTAAGTACCTCTTATAGCCTATTATAAAGTCCGTAGTCTAAAACTTAGCATTGTTCATCACAGAGAATCCCGAATTATTCAAATAAACTGTTGGGTAAAGTCGCAACTGTGCTTAATAACATTGTACTATAATAAAAGTAAGTTTGAAACAGACTATACCAGCTGCATTGCAATCATTGCAACAGTTTTCAATGAGAATTTCCGATCGCACAAATCAAAGAGATCTTCTAAAGAATGTCCTAATAATTCCATTACCAAAGCATTGTATTTCCCACATGGTCCAAAATAATGCACTTGCGGCAGTCCTTCTGTAAAAACACCTACTGTAAATAAAAAACTTTAAACAAAAACAAAAAATAGGTTCCTACAAGTTTAAACCTAAAAATGGATAATGAAATCCAAGTTATAAATCTCAAAACACCTAAGATGGAGAGAAAGCAAGATGCAAACCAATGAAGAATTCCATCTTTTTCAAATTTTCTCATCAGAAATGAAATCCGTCGACAGCGAAGGTAAATGCTTTTAAGATTTCTAAGATAAATATGACAAACACGCTAACCATAACGTTCAAAGGAGTTCAAAAGATAAAGAAAAAGAAGCTAATGACATAAATAAACCGTGCTGGCCAAGCAGTTTGTAAAAACGATATTCGAGATGAAGCTGAGGCGCTTTGCTCTTCAAGGGTTCTAACTTGATAGCCACATGTTCGTTATTGTATAAATTCTTTCCTAAACGTAGTTCTCCAAAATTACCGCATCCAATTTTTTTTCCTACCTGAAATGAACTTTAAATCCTTACATCCAGAAGTAGTATTAAATAAGCATTATCACATGCATTTTGCGTGCACTCTTTTACTGCAATACCAGACAACATTTCCCGCGAAATAACCATACAGATGCCATTTTTCATTTTCATAATATCCATTCGGCAGAACTTTTTAAGATTTCCGGTTATGTATCATGAAATGTATCCCAACAATATCCTGTCCATCTAAATTTTAATACTACGCTACATTGTGAATTAAAAATGTTCAGGAAACACCAAACAAAGAAAAAAAATATATTTTTTTAATCTAATGCTTCACTAATTATACTGGAATTAAAAGGAATGGTAATGGCAACAGCTCACAAATCACAGGGAAAATGACTGTTTGAAAATCTCAAAGCGATGCAGATCTTTCTCTTCAACTCACGTTCCACAAGGCTGAACTGCACTATGTAAGGTAGCAAGTTTGACCGCAACTTTTTATTGCGGATATCAGTAGGAATAAATTAAAATATTAAATGTCTATTAAAATCTGCTTCAAAATCTCTCTTCCAAAATCAGAATCAGCAAGATAAAGAGCTGTAATTAGGAACGAAAAGGATAAACGTCAAGTTCCCTATAACTTTTCAGTTTTTTTAAAAGAATTACTTTTATTAATTTAACATGTCATATATGGTGAAAATGTACAAAATCCTAAATCTAGAAAGTTTAGTTCGCGGTTTAGATATTTTTCAGCTGCATTTCCATTAAACGACCAGGAAAAGTAACATTACTCAAATAAAGTAAACTAAGCCTTTGGCAAGACGCTAACGATATCATAGTTCATACAATTAATTACTAAACTATTAATATATTAAGTCAACATGATGCGCAATCACACCTTGAAATTAGGTCCGACCATCAAAACTCCTGATGACGCAGTTGCGGATGGAGTTACAGAAGAGTTTGGCCCTCGCGCGTTCGTCATACCAAATGACTGCGCTGCTATTTGTGAGCTATTACCTGAAATACACAAGACGAGACATTTGAGAAAATGACAGCTGTCTCCAAAAATTTTACATGGTTGCTCAAATACTCTGTATAAAACGTTACTTTTTCAGAAAAAGTTGTGTATTAGTTTTAGTCATTCTAAATTCATCCCAAATAGCTAATGATGATTTCGACCTTTCAGCGTTAGATGGCCTAACATATTCGAGTCCTACAATTACCTTTCTGTTGTTTCGGCTGTTTTCGATAATGACAGATCGTCGCTATTTCTTCTCCGTGACAAGAAATCGAACTCAGATTCTGTGGGAGACAGCATAAATAATCAAAAGGAATGTCGTTATAACAGATGAAAGAGATCAGTACATTTTCAAGAAATTCGGTGTTAAAATACTGAAAGGATTAACAAACCCTCTAAAGTCTGCAAAATATGAGCGAAATGTTGGCCGCCGCCTGGAGATAGCCCTGCGGCTCCAGATAATTTTGATGGACGCTGTGCTGGCACCCGTCTAAAAGAAATAGAAGTATAAGATATACATATGCCTTACGAAACTGTTTCATTCTTATGACGCACGCAGCGAAAAGCATTATTGTGTACGGCAAAAATAATAAATCAAGCAATGAATTGCAAAGCAAGCAACACTACATACATATATGCAAAACAACAACGACTTCAGTACTGCAGCAAGCTCATTAGACCGTCTGCAAAATACAAAACACAACTTTCTTAAACCGCCGCCATGGAAGATTGCTTGCTTACTTCTGCTTCTGCTTGCCAACCTTTGATAATTTTTTTGAAAAAATTCTAGAAACTAATCTCACTTAATACAATCCATATTTACATCATGACCTAACTCGTGGATGATTCCTCCAGTTGCAGTGATGAATAATTGCATTCAGGTGTGGAAGAAGCAATGGGATTAGCTACGAAATGAGATGAAAGACAAGAGAGTATAAGACATTACTGTTAATATCTATTGAAATAAATTTTAGGTGTTCTACTACTATAAAAAACAAAGAAAAAAAAATGCAGTCCGTTTTCATTAAGGCATCAACGAATGCATAAGTTCCAGCACATTCCTTTTGCGGATGGAAGTAAAAATTGGAAGCAACATCACTTTATTATTAAACAATTTCAAGAAGTCAGCCAATCTAAAACAAGTCAATTATAGAAATATCACTGCTTGAAACTGCAAGATACTTGTCACTGGTTTGGATGCTGACCTGACAGTGAATTCCACAACATTATTGCACTGTAGAATTTCTGCTCCTCTCGGACATTTTTAATTTTAATTGTAAGCTAAATTGAGAAATACAAAGAAAATTGTTAGAATTTCTGCTCCTCTCGGACATTTTTAATTTTAATTGTAAGCTAAATTGAGAAATACAAAGAAAATTGTTACAGCAGAAGTGATACCTTTCATTTTCCACTCAATGCCATCCTAATGTTTCGACATAAAATAAATCAGATGAATGTGTGAGCGAATGCACCATAAAATACAAGAAGATTTTACTCAAACCAATCATTAATATCTTTCTATGCTCAATATTATTGGGACAACTATTATCTAATCCAAATCCCTTTTATAATATCCAAACAACATTAGGAAACTCTGTGTCCACTTTGTAGTTATATCTATTGATAATTTAAAAACTAATATTACCGAGATAATTTCAAGACCACTGCTTCAAATACCACGACTTCCGAGAAATTTTGCTCTCAATCTACTGTCAAAAATAGATCTTATAAAGATTAAATTGTTTGAATCACAGCAAAAAAAAACCAATAAATTCCGCAGCAAGGTGAACGTTCCTTAATACCGTAGTGATGGCGCGACCACTCAGTAAGCCATCTCATTACCGCTATCCGCAGAAATCAGCATACCAGGACGACACGGACATGTATTTATGTTGACATGAAGAGACAAACACACAACATTTATTTTGTGCTTGACAAATACGTTTCGATATCGAAGATGGTGAAGTAAGAAGATGACAGATGGACTAAACTGAAAAGCTGAAATGACCAAGATTTTATTCGGGATTCTAGTTATATATATACAACCTCTTTCAGTTATAAGAAGAATGATTACATGATATCATGCATATTTCTTGGGAGCTGTCTCAAAGACGTTCATCGAGGTTTTTATCAATATAAATTCGTACTTTTGTGTTTCTGCATTTCACTATAAACTGAAAATTACCTGGATTATTTATCAATCGGATAACTTCTACAGTTACTGAACTGAATCTAAATTTCGATGCATGACTTCTGAATAGACATCAATAATGAGGGCAACAGACACAGAGACGTCATCGTTCCAACTTAAATTGAGTAATCCATTGAAAACTGAAGCTACACCATTTCCAATACATAATTCGAATATAAGTGAAAGATAGAAGCAGTATTTGTATTCGTACACTTCCAAATTGCAGAAAGCTTTAAATACAAAAAAGCATATCATTGGACCTATTATTTATGTTCTCAAAGCAGATGTGTCAATTAGTAAAAACTGTCAAAAATATCAAAACGGCTTTCTTCCACAATCGCTAAAAATTATTGGAACTATGAAGAAGCAAAATATCCCGCGCACCGTAATTCAGTACTAGAAAAAAAAAAAGAAGACAGTTGCAAGGATAATTCTACGCAACTCATTTAATACTAAAGATTCGCACTACAACAAGTATAATAATCGCAATACGACATAGCACTTTACTGATATAATGTTTTGCTTACTCAACTGACCACTTCATTTTAGCAATATTACAATACTTTAATTTTGAAGTAGGATTTAATATAGGATTCTAGTATCATTATATGTTTGTAGGCAGTGCACTTGTCACATTCCTGCTAAGGCTCAGAACTGTCATTTGATAGAAAGCAACATTAATTTCACACTGTCCATAATGACTGCTCATTCATTAGAGGCGAAAGTGCATTTGACAACTGTCGATGAAATTATCACCACAATCGATCGTTATGATCGGTATATTTTGAAAATCACACACAACAGCACACCGAACGAACCACAGTTATGTAGATACTACGATGTATCATCAACAAAAAATGTAGATTCAAGCATATTTGACATCTTTACGATAGAACTAAAACACTGCAAATAAAACAAAACATTAACCACTTCCATGACGACAACGCCGAAATCCTGTTCACAATCGATCCCATAAACTATTACAATATATCTTACTGAACAGCAACCACACAGGACAATGTGAAACAACATGTCCCTACAATTACACATTTTTATAGATCCCAAACAGTACAGTAAGTAGCTTTGCAAATCAAGAGGGATAAAGCCTCTAACGGGAAGGAACGATGACCTGTCAATAAAAAATGAAGGAGGCATATCTGGAAGAGCTATAAGGTCCGATTAAGGTTGTGGAAAAAGACAAAAGGATGAATGCACTTCTTGCTCATTCTTCTATTCGGACAATACAAAGAATGATAGAATTCTATAAATAAATATAGATATATATGAATACCACGCCACAATTCAGTTATCTCATAATAATCTTAATCAAATGCTGGAATGTTACAGTTACCTCTGACAATGTGATGAAGGACAAAAGATGTTTCAGTACCTCAGTGCTTTTGAAACTCAAGTTCAAGCAGCTAGAAAACTTGAAAAAACTCGATACGCAAAAAACAAGGTGAAAGTTAAGAAAATTACTATCTCCGAAAGCTGATAATCCTGCTGTAAGCTTATCCAGTACCAAAGTTGATAAGTCTTTTTTCTTCACCAGTTTACGATTAAAAAAGAGAACCTATACAGTAAAACATAAAGATTTCTAAAAAATCTGTTAAGACTGAAAAAAATACAGTAACATCGCCCTAAATGGCTGATGGGAAGCATTTGTAAGAAAGATGAGACAGATACTATATAGTCTTGGAAGAGCTTCGTGTGATTCTTAGGAAACTTCTCAATAACAGAGAAAAAAAGCAACTAAAAACGCTTATTAAATAGCCTTCCTATTAGGTATTTGTAATCGGAAAATCATTGAATTATAATACGGAGTGGTCGAACTACAAAGATATATTTCATGTAACTGTTTCCTCTGTATAAAACAATTTCATGATATTAAGAAATTAGACTTATTTGTCACTTAGGAATTCAAGTCAAGAAATTTTCAGTAAAATGTGAAATTATTTTTCAAAATATTAGTGCCATATTAGGGATGTGTCTTAAGCTGTAATGAAGTTTGGACAATCTGTTTGCATATGTAAAACTCGTTAGTCTTTTTCTGAGGACCACAGGAAGCTCTTCCAAGACTATCTATGGAAGATCTTTCTTATAAGTGCTTCCCATCAACCATTTAGGGCGATGTTACACCATATTTCTTTCACTCCTAACAGATTTTTTACAAATCTGTATGTTTTACTGTGTAGATTTGTTTTTAATATAAAAACCATCTTACTTGCTTTTCCAGCAATCTTATGAAACTACCAAAAAACAAATTATCGTTGCACTGCAAAGTGAACCATATAAAAAGCAAAACAACCCGTACTACTGGAACAGATTCCTTTTGACTACATTCCTTTTTTTTTTCAACTATAAATAAATACCTAAATAATCTGGTAGTCTAGGTATGAAATACCCTGTATTTCGCGAAAAAAAGAAAAGGAAAAATAACGCTAATCGGAGACTTCCAACTAGCAGTTTTCCATAAGTCCATAAAAAATAAATGATTGATACACATAAATTTAATTACCATATCACGTTTTCCAGCAGAAGTTGTACTGAATTTTAACACTGTTCCTTTTTTTTTAGAGAAATGTCGGAAAAGCATTTGCCTTTTTAACAGCTTAATGAATAAGACCATCATTTAAGTGCTAGCATTATCGCTATGATAAAGACGGCTTTAATAAAAGAATATTAATATTACTATTTTAGTAATGGAAAACTTGGTTGCAATCTATCTTTGCCTAATAACAATACTTTTTTCTTCTAATTCAGTAAGATCTATCTGGATAAAATTATGATGAGAGTGGCTCTGATGACGATGGAACTTACATAATAGTAAAATGATAAAGGAAACCACCATTAAAAGGAAAAGACGGAGATTTTATTGTTACTTATGGTTCGTCATGAACAACTGAATAAATCCATTTTTTGAAGATATGAAGCAGTAGCAGCAGCAGCATCAACAACACCGTGTAAAGGATTCATTATCAGCAAACTGGCAGCATCTAACGACAACGATGACACTGATATGGATACTAGTACCGATCCATGTTTTGTGACTCCCGTTCTGGTCGTCCATTCCTGTCTTGCATACGCAGCAGTAGCATGTTGATTCGCTAAATTCTTTCCCAGACAATTTTTCCAAAACGAAACTATTAAATAAAAACCTGAAAATAAATATACAATGAAGTAAAAAAATGATGTAAAAATGTCTCATCAGTCCTCACATGAATCTCAAACAGTAAAGAGTTGACGTATTATTTCAGGATGTTTTATAGAAAAAAGTTTTTGAATGTAAAGCAACCTACTGGCTGATGTTATAGATTCATAAAAAAAACTGTTTAAAATTATATAATTCTGATAATCTCCTTCCTTCAGTGTATTATCAGTAATTTCTATAGATATATTTATGAAAATGGATATCACTAGGAAATATTTTATGGATCAGAATTCCTCAAAATTCTGTAAATAACAGGATTAAAGAAGATAAAGAATTACGTTCTAATTGTTGCATAATCTAACTTTTCTAGGAAAGGTTGAAATATACCATCAACATGGAAATGATTGATATCGTTTTCACCATACGTCAATTTAAAGTAATCTTAACGAAATTTTGAAAATTTTCAACAGAATAGCATAACTTTAAATTATATTTATATACAAAAGAGTGATATGCAGCAATAAATAGCAAAACCATATTCACTACTCTAACACTGTTAAAGACCCGCCTTTCTTCTCTCACTGATTTTATGTGTCACATAAATAACACCAGTAACCTTCAAAATCCAAGCAGTATAATTCCTAGATTCCGACTCGAAACATCCGGTGGAGTGCAAATGATGTGTTAATAAAGGATTCGCAATGATCCAACTATATCGAGAATATGCGACTCAGTAAAAAGTACAAATATTACTTATTTTTGAGTAGAATTAAAAATCCGATTATTTGTTTCAAGTTATTTATGACATAACACATATGTAGTAAGATGATGAGTCGAAGAATTTCAAGAATCAAAAACGTAGATGGTCAGGTGAGTAAATTCCAGTTAAGTTTCTGGAAATGCAGACAACAGAGTCTGGTGATTTCGAGTAAAAAAAAGAGAAAACAAGCGCACTTAGTTGTAGTTCTACTGCAACTGCCGTGAAAGCGACACTGGAGCCATAATAATAAATGGAGATAAAGAAAGCTAGAATTGAGTGAAAAGGAATTGGATTGAATCGATTTCTTCGAGCCAGCGCTCTCATTTCCCCTCACACCTACATTCTTCTCTCAGGCTCATTTCAATACTATCTTACTGAGCTTTACTTTCGTCGGTTTCTCATCAACAACACATCCATTATAATAAACTATTCCGCTGAAATATCTGGGATATTCCATCAAAACCATCTGATATAAAATGAAAGCAAATAACAGCTAGTCTAGCTCAAGCTATGTTATCGCCAGTGCAATGGTCAAATGATGTTTCTCAATCCAGGGACAAAAGTAAAAAGTTCTAACCTAAAGAAAAAAAAAAGAAAAACTAATTAAACTTTCAACCAGTACGGTGCTATTAGACATGTTCCGACTAGATATACACTAATAAAGTAGGGAGATATGGGTATGCTTTGGGTCAGGACAGAAAGACACGGGAAATTATTTGATGATCAGAGAGGAAGAAAGAATTTTCGAGATAACTAGAGAATGTGTAAACTTCCGAGCAAGTCCAGGATGCTGCAGTTTAGTCGTAGTAATGCACTCGATAGGTACTGAGGCGTCTGAATGGAATGCGGTAAGGGTAGTTAGTTGAGTTTGTCACGACCAATGAATAGTTGGGTGAATGAATTACTGAAGATGTAAATTCTAAATTTTGTGTTTTAAATTATCAAAAATTGGGATATGATAAGAATAAAAAACGAAGAAAAGTGAGGACACTGCCGGACATATCCATTCCGGCACCACACTCTGCAGTAACTCGGAATTGTCTCTGTTGATACGAGGGGGGAAATCAGATATGCTTCCGCATCCTAACCAATGTATGCTACTTTGATTGGTTTGTTCGTGGCTGGCTTCGCGTTGCTGTCAGATGTTCGTTTACCAACAGGTAGTCCGTCTGTTTCTATCTGTTTAGACCTTTGTTTCCGAGAAGTCAGGATTGCTTAGGTTGATAAACGTTCGCGAATATCAAGAAAAGGATGAGTAGATATGCAGGTTAAAGGAATGGATATCACTTGATCTGATCTGGATTTCGAATCATTTATGTAATTGTCTTTGAACTCGTATAGATATTTCTTGTGTATGCGTTCGTTTTGTTTTGATAAGCTATGATAATTTATCAAGGTTGTAGTGACAGGATGGATATCAGTTCGACGAACCCAAACATTAATTCAACGGACCCAAATTGGAATCTTTTCTTGCACCAATTACAAGCTGAAAATCAACGTCAGAAATTCACAGAACAGGTGAACATTGATTTCATGCATCTGAGATGTATATGAGTTGTATAATATGTGAACTATATCCAATCAAGTTTAACATTTTGATACTCATGAAGAGGATGACATGTATGATTGCGCGCTTTTTCTAGTTACTGAGGTAACAACTGCGTGGAGTAGCTGATCCCATTAATTAGACAAGTGGAATTGAGATTTGGTAGTTGTCAGTCATATTCAGCTGTCGAGAAATTTGATCTTTAAATTTATTCATTGAAGCTTTGCAGGTGCAAACGTTGACAGGTCGTTGTTGGGATGTGTGTTTCTCGGATTATCGACCACCAAGTAAGTTAGACGGCAAAACACAGAATTGTATCAACAACTGCGTGAATAGGATGATCGACGCCAGTAATTTCATGGTGGAACATTTACAGAAAATGAGTGCTACTGAAATGAGGTGAAGTGGCCGAATTCCAGTTATTATTATCTGTGAACTATAAATTTTTGAAATACTTTAAAAGTACTTTGGTATGTTTCTTTATTGCTGCTTCTAACGGAAGTGCTTGTTCTGGATATCTGTATTCTTGGCTCATCATATGGTGCAAAATATCGTACTGTTTTTTTCGTTACACTTATACTGCTGTACTGTAATTCTTATTCACTGTTATGATATATTGAACATTTTATATAAATAAGGTCACACATATGAATTTGATTGTGGGTTTATTTCTATGTTTTGCTTTAAAGAAGAATGATATTTGCTGATACGATACTTCGTGCAGAAAGAAATGTTTAATGCTAAGACACATCTGTAAGAATTTTGCAGATTTCTTGGAGTTGAATTTTTCAGTTCTAGCTTGTGTCTAGTTCAAGTATTCGTCGTCCTCACTATCGAATAGAGAAGTATAAGTTTGAGTAAATTTTAAAATTTATGGCTTTAGTTGATTGTTACGAACAAGGATGTAATCTGATATAATCTAATATATCTTTGGATATCCATTCATCTTTTTATATGCGACACTAAACACATAATTCCTTATGATCTATTCTCTAGAAGACGTGACCTTCACCGTCTTCTTGTATATCACCACAAAACTGTCACCCAGGTTATGAAAAACCAGTAATGCAAGCAATGTATGTGTATATTACATGTATATTTTGTAGAAATGTGGATCATCTGATGTACTATAGCGTTAACATTAGCTCTGCTCAAAGGTTTATTTTACTGGTCGGTTTAGCTGATTACAGAAATCGAAGCTTGCTGATCAAGAAAGGAAAAAGTGGAATTGGTATATTATGATACTCGATGCTCTTTGGTATAGGGATGGATGCATACCTTCGTTACTTTTTATTTCTTTGCTTAATAATTGGTCTTTTAAAGGTCACTGGATGGTTGATCACTAGTTTGTTATTTTCGAAAAGGAAAATTGTTTTAAATGATGAGTGCTGAATAATTAAAGAGGAAAGCTTAAATGTTTTTTGAAATCAGCATTGAACTTTATTCATCTAACAAATAACTGTTTAATTCATATTAAACAACACTAAATAATTCATTTGTAGACTCTAATCCATTCTTGACTATGCTACTACTACCATTACCAAGCGTAATGATCCTATGACTGATGTGATGTCAATGTGATGTGGTCTGAAGAAATTGTAGGAGAGGAATTTTAGATGAGATTGAATTCAATTTTGAGTTAATCATCAAGGCTTTAAATTTTCAAGACAGTGTTATTGGCGTTCTATAGAAATGCTTCAACGTGACAGAAAATATGTTGAAAGTTTTTGATCAAAAGTTCGTCGGAAGACATTGTTCATCCCATATAAAAAAAATTATGGCGTTGAAAGTGTTCCCCGAACGGAATAGGAAAATCGAGGCGTGGCGTGTTTAAACTTCAGCTTTGCATTAGTTAAAGTTGAGTTGGAGAAAAAGAATCTTCACCAGTGTTAGGGTCCAATTAATCTTGGCCAACGGGATTGAGACTGGAGAGGGCAAGGACTGCTGATTTGTTTTGAATGTGGATGACGAAATGTGCAGGATCCGGAGTCTTCCTTCATTTCTTTTGATACAAGATAGGAACGCAAGATTTCTTCCTTCCACTTTTTTGACTCTTTCGAATCTTGCCGAATATTTTATTCATTTTTCGGAACATTATTTTTCTGGTACTTTGATCATAAGCAATATATCATCATTTGTTTAATGGATCAAGTCGATTAAGGCGATTATCTGCCACTAAACAGAGTCCTGATACTGCTGTCATTTCTTTTGTTGTCATTTGCTTATGCACTTGGATTCGTTAGGCTTCCTTGTTCGTCACATCTTTCCATTCCATTTCATTCCCTAGTCATTCATTCGATTACAGGAAACTTGAAATTCCAGTAAATTGTGAATTAGCCTATCTCATTAGACGGAGAAAGTTTTTTAACCTAATCATTTTCACTGCTCTCAACTACCTTATTTCCGTCCAAGGCCAAGAAATTAGTGTATTTATAGTAATATGACTAAGTTACCACTACTGTATTTCATTCTACAAGTGCCGTTCTTGGCATGTGTCGACATATGTCATTATTGCCGCTGTGATCGACATTCTAGTACTATCAGTTGTACGGGATATAACATTTTGTTACGATCGGTAATTGCACCGCACTGGGCCAAGATTCTCTATTTCCACCATATGTCTATGCGACATTTGCCTCATTTTGCTCAAAATGAAAATATCAAAATTCTTCGGATTAATTTCTGTGGTTTGACACATATTCATTCGCTGTCGCTTACCTCACTGCCAAATCTGGAAACTCTGCACCTTTCTGATAATCGGTTAACGGATTTACCTTCGGAATGTTTCTTTGAACTTACCAAGTTGCGGATCATAAATCTGGCAAGAAACCTGATTCGTGACCTAAATCTAATCAATGAAATGCTTCCAAGAAGTCATATTCTGGAGCGATTTAGTATAGATGGTAATCCAATACAAATTAGTTCTATTAGTACTCAGTTTCCTTTAGCTCGACAGTTGCATCTTTCGGATACAAATATGGAAACAATTAACGATTCTACCATAACTTTTCTGCCCAGTATCGGATGCAATGTATCAGAGACACTTTGTCGCAGTATGCACATTTCGAACCAGCAATGGTTCATTCTGCGTTCGTTAGATTTATCATCTCAGGAAGAGCTTTCAATTCACCCATCGCTCCTTCCAGTTATCAGTAATGTTAGCGTGCTAAATCTCAGGACAACCAAACTTCCTGACTCTTTTCCTGATTGGCTTCAGATTTCTAGTCGTGTCCGACATCTAAGTATACCATTTACCGTCCTTCCAAATGCAAATTATTCTTGGGAATGGTGTAGTCAGTATCTGGAATGGCTTGACATATCTCATCTTAATTTACGCACTCTTATTATTCCAAGACATTGCAAGATTCGTTATTTAAAAGCGAACGATAATCATTTGGATAAGGTTTTCATTCGTGCTAATTCGTTGGAAACCTTATTTTTAGAACGGAACAATTTGTCTTCTTGGATTGTACCTCCACCTGGTACTACCTTTAATCATATGTTGACACTTTCCTTGTCCTTCAATAGAATACCTTATTTACCCAAAAATGCTTTGGCTTATTATCCACAACTTCAGCACCTCGATATTTCTCAAAATGTTTTGGCAAACTTGTCTACTCAATCATTTCCAATAATTGGAATGCAAATTCGCTCCATCAACATGTCCCACAACAAACTCTCTCGATTCGTGCACCCGATATTGCCGTCACTACTTCTTCTTGACCTATCTAATAATGCTCTTCAAGGTTTAGACTCTTATTTGTTAGCAGGACTTCCTCTCCTCCAACATTTCTATCTAAAATCAAACGTTGGTTTATTTTCGAAGTGTAGTGGAATATCTCAGTGCTGGATAATGTCCCTAAATCAGCTTGGAAATCTTATCGATTTAGACATTTCAGATTGTAATCTAGAATGGCAGCCAGATCTTTCTAGTTTTCAAGCAATGCGTAAACTTGATTTATCTAGAAATCGATTATCATCTCTAGACGGAACCTTATTACCTCGTAATCTATACTTCTTGGATGTAAGTGAAAATCTTATCCATTACTTATTCAATGATACCTGTATGAAGAACAGTGAACTTCGTGAAATGGATATATCACGAAATCCACTTATTTGTCACTGCACATTGTTGCAAATCATCCAATGGATCCCAAATGACACATATTCTACCTCAACTAATGATTTATATTACTGCTTTTCCGGGAGTTGGCAATATCCTCTGCGAAACTATTTAGATAGTGCAACTGCATGTCTTTCGACTAGATCTGTTCGGTTCCCAGCATTATTTACAATAATTTGCTGTATCCTTGCCATCACCATCATCCTTGCAATTTTCATCTTCGTTGCAAACAGCAACAGAATGTCACATTGTGGCGAATGCTTATTATTTGCTTATAAACCACTCCGTACAAGTGATACATCACTTGCCGTTCAGATTTGATTTATTTTAATTGATATATCTAAAATGTTCGACAATCTGCAGTTGTGTGCTTTGACAATCTATACGAAATTTATTGTAAAATAAAAAAGCATGTTTTTATATTATGTCTTTTCTTATTTCAACAGTACATCATTACCAAATGGCACTATTGTCTAGTAAATTGTTTTTATGAAGTGCAAAACTAATAAAGGATGTTGGACTTCATTTCTTAATTGAAAATACATATAAAATTGTATAAAATGTTTCATGGCTTACAATTCTCGATTTCAGATTTTCTGTTTTGAGATCTTTGTACTATCAACAAATCCGATAACTGTACAATAAAGTTTACTTCGCCATTGTAATCAGAACGCACGAAATATATACATTGAGACATTTAGGTATAGAACAAAATGTGTTTATCTACAAACAAAGCACTTCATTCATAGATGGCAACAGTAAGATAAAAATGTGGTTAAATTCAACTAAGTTTGCAATAATAGATTCATTACACATTGACATCTGACCTATTATGGTGGGATTAACTCTTATCACTGTATGTTTCGAGTTTTTGAATGCGCTTTGAAACAAATTGCATTTCTACATGAATTATTTATATGTGAATAATTATAATCAAAAGGAATTCCTCTACCATAATTACCAGTACTCTTTTCAAAATGATTTCGCTATAGCGATAATGCTATATTAGGAAAACCAGGATAATGGTACTGTATAACAGAAATCAAATAATGGAATCTATGGAGGAAGCACAGAATACAAGCTATTAAGTCTTCTGTTTAATTCATCCATTAGTGGTGTCATAAAGAAGTACTTTCTCCTCAAGGAAGCTCTTTCTCTACCAACCTCCTTGAGTATGTTTTGTATTCCGAAACAAACACAATTACTGAAATCTAAATTCATATGGCAAATTTGAAAGAGTGATAGATATCAACAAAACTTTTTTGGAAAAACTGCATAATAATCGAAATTGATGTATCAAGAAGTATAAATCATTATTAGTGACTTTTCTATGTTATCTATCACTTTATTGAAGTGCGATTTAAACAGAAAAAATTTGCACACATGTTTGAAATGGCTTTTGGACCATTGCTGTGTGATATGTGATGGATAAGGCGATGAAATACAGTTAATTCCCTATGGAAAATTTTTTTCGACTTCTTTTCAATCATCACTTTTGATAAAATTTTTCTGAGCATTACCGCTGTCATAGCAATGCAATGTCATTGCAGAACTACGTCACCAGCAAGAGACGAGAATCAGTGAGGGTCAATGGTGACACATCTGTGGTAAGAAGCTTCGCCTCACTTCCCTTCTGACCTTCCTTGCTCTTTGCTCATCCGAGGAAGATATTCTGGCAAAGTAAGATGGTAGACAGAGTATAATGCCAGTCACTCATTCAGGCCGGAGGCCGAATAAAATGGTCCTCACGTATCCGGCAGAACCATCGGAGAGAAAAAAGAATTAAAATTGGAAAGAGTTGGCAACGTGCCAGCATATCATTTATTTTATTGTATAGACATAATCGAGGGTCCGTCCACTCCTCCTTTATTGCATTGTTGAAGTTGAGATTAATGATTGGCAATGCTGTTGGTGACCCCTTTGACCTTTTATTTCTTTTTCAACTATTCTGATGCTGCTGGTTGCACTTCAGCAATATCTTGACCTCTTTTGGGTCCACTTTTTAAATGATTTCATGATGAGATCACATCATGTGATGTATAGATAATGAATCGTATCCGGACTGTTGATATAATAAGATTACAGGTACAGGATACTTATGGATGAGAACTTCTTTATTGGGAATGTGTCTCCAGAAAGTACCATATCTCAGGACCATCACCACCGGCATCACCAGAGAGTAGTACCATGCTCGAGTTCAACTTTACTGTGTCCTCCAATGATGTATCGAAGTCAGAAACATTCCCGTTTGGCACTTGAGCAAATGAATGAAATGCGGTCAGATGGTTCTCTGTGTGACGTGACCCTGATCGTTGGAACCGTCCGTATCAATGCTCATCGACTACTGCTTGCTTCATGTTCCAGCTACTTTCGTGCTATGTTCACCTCAGAAATGGCTGAAAGTCGGCAACGTTAGCTTATTTTTCATTTCATCCTTATTAATGTCAGAAAAGAAAGATTTATATAATTATTTAGTTATGAATTTTCAATTTATCGTTGGAAAACATATTGCTATTGCCATTTTCCTCATGAAAGCAAAAATGGTGTTTGACGTTTCTTTTCTTTTTTTCGATTGGAAAACATGCTAAACAATGAAATATTCAATTTTTAGAAGAAATTCAGATGGTGGATATTGAACCTCGCACATTGCAAGGGCTAATTAATTTTTGTTACACGGGTGAAATAACGATTGCTGATTTCAATGTCCAATCCATCCTACCAGCTGCATGCTTATTGCAACTCGGCGAAGTGCAGGTCACTACATTTGTATCATTTTGATTTTACTTATTTGTCCGGTCACTAAAATGGATAGTCTAGAGTTAATGCATGGTATTTGCAGGAAGTTTGTTGTGAATTTCTGAAAAAGCAGTTGGATGCAACGAATTGTTTAGGTATAAGGGCATTTGCTGACACTCACGCTTGTCGAGATTTGATGAGGATTGCTGATAAATTTACTCATCACAATTTTCAGGTCTTTCCTTTAGAAATTAATGTCTTCATATTAAAACATTAACATTTAACATTAAAGTCTTAAATTTTAGAGTTATTCACCCTAAGCATTGAAAAACTTGTGACAAGTTTTAATTTCGAGTAAGAGATAAAACTACAGGATGTTGCGAAAAGTGAAGAATTCATATCACTGCCTGCAGATCAGTTAATCAACATTATATCAAGTGAAGAACTAAACGTTCGGTCAGAAGAAGTTGTTTTCCGAGCTGCAATGGCGTGGATCCGTCATGATCTTCCCAATCGACGTCAGTTTTTGCCGAAGGTCTCTTTTTTTCATTTCCTTGTATATGTTTGCTGTTAAATCCAAGCATAGTTTAGAAAAATTTTTTCTTAGCTATAGTGTCTTTAGGTTTTGGAGCATATTCGATTACCTCTTTGTCCTGCGAAATTCCTGGTTAGTGTAGTAAGTGAGGATCCATTAATTAAAATTGATGCACAGTGTCGAGATTTGGTTGACGAAGCTAAGAATTATCTTCTCTTGCCTCTGGAAAGACCGAACATGCAAGGACCGAGAACAAGGTATCTTTAAGACCTTCTAAAACATTCTTCTAAATTTCTGTTATTTTGCAGTAAATTCTGTTATTTTCATTCCAGTGACTTCATTCCAGTGACTTCGTTCCAGTAACTGGTAATGTTCAGGAGTAGGAAACCACTACGTTATGGTGAAGTTCTATACGCTGTAGGGGGTTGGTGTAGCGGTGATGCTATTGCTTCGGTGGAACGCATGGATGGTCGGACTGGCGAATGGCGTTGTGTTGCTCCCATGAGCAAACGACGATGTGGTGTTGGTGTAGCCGTGCTTGATAATTTATTATATGCTGTGGGAGGGCATGACGGACAAAGTTATCTCAATTCTGTTGAAAGGTGGTCATGTATATAATACTGCTTTTTATCTTGCTGTTAATGTTAGCTCAATGCTAAAAAGTTAGCTTTTATAGTAACGAGTCGATAACTGTTGCTACATGTTTACTGTTATGGGCAACTGTAATAAAAAATATGTTTGTGTTACTCGTTTTTAATGCTTCTCATGGGCTAGTAGGGAAGGAGAAGTTTTAAGAAGAGTTATTCATCATAAATATGATATAAAGATTATTACACATAAATTTTAGATATGATTTAGATATGACCCAGCAACAAATCAGTGGAGTAGTGATATTGCACCGACATCCACTTGCAGGACCTCAGTTGGCGTGGCTGTCCTTGGTGGTTTGCTTTATGCAATTGGTGGTCAGGATGGAGTTTGTTGTTTGAATGTCGTGGAAAGGTTCATGTTTGCTTTTACAAGTTTGATAGGAAAGACACTGAGAAATTAGGTGTTAATTATTTTGATTCAACATGTTAAAGTTAAAACGTTCATACATTTTTAGAAGTAATACGGATAGTATCGCTTTTAACAAATTTTGTTATAGATATGATGCGCACCGAAATGAATGGGCTGAAGTAGCTCCAATGAGTACACGCAGATTAGGCGTATCGGTGTCGGTTTTAAATGGTTGTTTGTATGCTGTGGGTGGTTCTGATGGACAGAATCCACTGAATACTGTTGAACGGTGTGTTGCTGCTTCTGTTGGGTTTCCCATTTATTTTCCGGTTACTTCAGTTGAGTCTAAAGGAAATATTAGTATAGATCCAAACATTGAAATTACTGAATCTTAATGGTGAAAAACTGTTATAGTTATGATTCGAGAATTAACAAATGGATGACAGTAAAACCAATGAATACGAGACGAAAGCATTTGGGGACTGCTGTGCATGATGGATGTTTATATGCCGTAGGTGGTCGAGATAATGCTTGTGAACTATCATCGGCAGAGAAATATGATCCGAACACGAATGAATGGGTCAATGTTGTTGCGATGAACAATCGCAGATCTGGGGTATTCTTTTTAATCGCATTTCAGATAACTGATATTTAATTGTGGTACTTCTACATTTCCATATTTTTGATATTATCTCGGCATCCTTGTATATCTGGGAAAATTCATGACGAGTTTATAAGTTCATTTGCGGGAATGCACATTCGTAGTTTAAAGTTTATCTGTCATTTTTTATCAGCAACTACGTGGGCATCCTGATGTACAGTATATGACTGCAGTAAACAAGCTTGAATCATGCTTTTCGCTGTTATGTTTTGAATGGTAATCAGCATATAATACTCGCACTAAGAAATTAATATTTTTCATTAAGAAAACACTGGAAACCCGACGTCTTTTCTATATTTTTAAGGAGCAATTTTTTGACTGATTTAAGTTTAGGTGGGTTTGGCTGTAGTTAATGATCAGTTGTATGCAGTCGGCGGTTTTGATGGTACCACATACCTAAAGACCGTAGAAGTTTATGATCGAGAAACAAATCAATGGCGTCAGTCGGGATGTATGACATACCGACGGCTTGGTGGCGGTGTTGGAGTGGTCCGACTAGACCACGACCAATATGTGCCATTCAGTCTGGATCCTGATTTGACACCTTTCGATGATCCTCCTTTGATGTGAATTTTCGGGATTTTTCCACAGCTGATAGTCGAAGATTCAAGAACTGTGATTCTGTGCTGTGTATGTAATCTATTCGTGTCATATTGCTGTTATTTTGTGTATTTATAATAAATTACATTAGTATTTCATCGTATAAGACATAAGTAAAGCTGAACATAAAGTAGATGAAGTAATAAAATGCATCTTTTGGAGTAAATCCGACCGTTTTATTAAGATTTTCTGGGAGAATTCCAAGAAGGTATTCATCACCAGAATTGGAAAGTTGTTTTTATAAGCTTCTGCTTGGACAAACTGGATTTTTTGGGATGTGAGAAAAGACTAATAATCACTACTAAAAAGTGGTATACGATGTAAAGTTGGAATATAAATTACGGATTCATTCCAAAATATTCGAACAAAACTGGTTGCAGCTTAATCAATTTCAGTCGAGATGAGGTAATGAGCTATTCCACATCGTTTTTCCTTAAATATCCGGCAACATCAAAAGCCTAGGAGATCCTTTGTTGCAGCTATGATGTCACCGTTATGTTCAATCAGCTTTTTCTCCGCTCGAATTCTTGGCAATTCTAATTCATCCATCTTAAAGATTGTTAGGTTTTACGTATTGAAGATTCTAAACAAAAAGGAAAATGAAAAAATATCAAGCCGCGACTATGACAGTCTTTGCCATTTCTGCATAATTTTTTTTTAAATCAGTCTTTGATTTAACAGCTAGAATGCATACAACTATCCAATAACGAACAACCAGACTGAGGTTCACCACACTGTGCTGCATATTTTAGGACACTACAAATTTATCCCTTCCTGTATACAACATCAGTAAAATATAGGAAAAACGAGCCCATGCATTAGTTGCAAATGATCAGCTGTTATCAACTCATTAATGACTGCAGCTAGCGCCAGCACCTTTGCACAAATGTATAATTGATTTATCAGTATCATAACTTACGATAAGCAGCACGTCCTCTTTCTTTACATTGATAACTTTCCCGCTTTCTCTCAGTGGTCCGCTAGGTCCACTGATTAAGCTGTCAAGTTTCTCATTGGACACCTCTCGACCGATGTCGCTGTCTTCATTGAAATCAGTGACCTGTAGAATCATGGTTCTTATAATTATTTTTATAATTTAATGATTTTCTACCAATAACTAAGGCATGAGTAAACCTTTTCAAGATCAGCCGCAGCCCAATCCTTACTCTTTGATGTATCTTTGGGCATTCGATCCGTTTGACCTTCGACCCCATTTTGCTCATCCTTTTCTCTCTCTCTCATCCTATAACCACTTTATTAATCCGTCAGTAATCAATGACAACCCTCCCTTCCCCCTCCTCTTCCAGAAAATAATCCCTAAACCATCCTCGTAACGAAAACGGGAAACCCTTCATGTAACACAGAGCCACCAACAAATGAATTTGCTGCTGAGAACCACTTTTTAATAAAGTGGCACGAATATGTCCATTGTCAACATGAAGCAGCATTTACTGGGCGTGGATGGCGTGACATGACGTGGAAACTAAAGTGATGTTCAGATTGTGAAGTGTATACTTCTGCTATGAACGTAACACGTGTGAATACATCCACATCGACAGCTTTGCACAAACAAGGAGCCTTTGATATGGATAGTAATGCCATTTACAGGTATTGTATACCAGCCATTATCAGATCTGTAACACCGCCATTATTAATGCAATTGTTAGCGATATTAACATATCAGACATAATAGTAAAGGTGACTGTAGAATATTCCAATCAGTCTGATATAGTTTTAATCAGTTATTTGCATATGAGAATTCATTAGCAACTATTATTGCTGTGGGATAGACAGTTCGCACTGCATAATTTCATCCTTTCTATATGGTGGTAATTAGAAATATAGAAGAAAGTTATGCAGTAAGTCCTTGGCTAAATGATTTCACAGTTAATTTATTACAGATCGCTACTGGTGATTGGTCTTCTTGTAGCGATTATCGGGGTTTGGATTGTCATGAAAATTCTAAGGTAACTATCGTTGATTTATTACGGATTATTGTTGGTGATAGGTCTTGTAGTGATTATTGAGGTTTCGTTTGTCATGAAAATTCTAAGGCGACATTATTGCAGCTTATAAATAAAGCATATTTCTAGATAAGAAAATACTAAAACGAACTGGAAAATACTAAAGAAACTACAAGTTAGAAGTGTTGATGATGGGTATTTATATCCTTTATCATTGCAGAGTTAGGAAAAATGAAATCCATACTCGGCGGTATGATATTTTGTCAGCAAAACAACTTGTTCCGGAGCATAATGGTTCTGAAGACAGCGATGATGATTTATTTGTTCCAGTACGAAGAAGTGATTCCATTAGACATCTTATACCAGCGAACATACTCCAGTAAGGTATTTTTGAGTAGTACGTATTTTTATACATATTTTATCACAAATTGTGATCGTCCTCTGATGAATTATTGATCTTTTTCCATTTTCTTTACTTTAGTCATTCATTTGTCTAGTAATGAATTTATCTTCATGTTTCCGTTGAATTTCTTCCTTTTCTTTATTTACTTTTCTTCTGTTCAGTGCGGTATTAAGCGACAAATATGCAGTTGCAGCTTTGTTTTTCGATATTGGTTTTTTATCACCAGCGCTTCAGTTATTTTGCAGCAAAGTTTTTGTTTATATTTTTTATTGATATAAATGAATTAACTTGTCCTTTTTCTAAATTTCATTTTAGCACTACTGATTTGTTGACGATATCCACAATAAGCTGTTTGCGAACTTGTTTCGGTAATTTGTGAACATTTAATTCTCTACATTAATAATTTCAGTTTTCTCTTCTTGTTTTAAAGTATTTGTTTGTCATGTAAAGAATGTTCATTGCATATCACTATTTTATGTCTATTTCATTTAATTAATTAGCAGTCTGAGTCAGCAAATTATTTTTATATACCAAAGTACCAAAGTAATTCATTCCTTCTCAGGAATGAACTGTGTTAACTGACTTAGAAGCAAGGAACTCTCATTAGTTTCATCGTATCCATTTATACAGATCCTGAAAACATATCACAACCCTGCTGATTGGGATTGTGACATATTATGCTCTGTGACAACAAATTCTAATAATAATTTTTTTTTAATTTTATAATAAAAGTTTACTTCAAAGCTAGTTTGAAAAACTACTTCACTGAACGCGTAAATTAACATTTGTTAGAATAAGATAATTATTCCACTACTTTAATGCTTCCTCCTCGATAAGTTAGGAGGAAATCCTATAAGCCATTATATTCTTGTAGTTCAGGTCCAACCGTTAGAACTTCGGATGGTCAAATTAACAAAAAAAAATAACCTTTATAATACTTTGCTGCACTACCATTTCTTAACAGAAATAATAAGTGGGTGCAGCCTCATATGTACGCAAAATTGGTAGTGTATCTAGCGACTGATGCAATCGTCATTTTTCACTACCAATCGTTACATTTAACCCTATCGGAGATCATTGCTTGTCAGAAGAGTTGAAATTTTCAATTTGTGAGAAGAAAATTCGCTGTTCGGGGTGTTTTTATTGAATTTTTTTAATCTTATAGTAATGTAAAAAGAAAGTGCATTGTTTGTTTTATTTCGAGTTCAATTATAAAAAAATTGTGTTTTTATTGATTGACTCTTTCCTTACAATAAACTACAGTTGAGATATTATTACAGTGACGATGACAGGTACGGCTTGATAAATGAAACACTTCCTGAATATGTAATTAATAATGTAACAAATTGCTATTTTTAGCAAATCCTTAGGCAACAAAAATCTCGCAAAGTATAGCCATTGGATTATGCTATCCTTAATGCGTTAACTGACCCTCAGCTCGGGTAGGTCTTGGCTTCTTGGTCATTGATTCAAGCATTTGAGTAGCACATACTACGGGCTTTCCCATTAAGTTACATCGTGCGATTAGCATTTTTTGCGCTGCGAATACTTTCTCAGTGGGAATTTCGATACCTAAATCACCGCGTGCTATCATCAGTCCATCTGCCTCTCTGATTATCTCATCTGCGCTGAAAGCCATAACGACATTTTCTCTTTCATTTATCAACAAAACAATAAACCGCATCTTACTGCATTTCAGAATAAACTTGCAACGATAGCTTGCTAGTCCGAAGCAACTTATTTTCACTCTTGCAAATTTGATTATCATCTACTACTTATCATTAACTTGCAATAATTAGTTCTCACTTTTCAATGCCTTCCTGATTTTCAATTTTCGCTATAATTTTAATAAATCTTCCGTTCTCGCCAAGAATACGTCGTATTGTACGTACACCTTCAGCGTTTCGAATAAATGATGCAAATATCATATCAACACCCTATGAAAACAAAAATATATTAAAGCTATCTCCAATTTACAGCTGACAACTTTCGAAAAACTGGTACCTGTTGAAACTCATAAACAAGAGAAACCTATAGCTCAACGAACTAGGAATGCTGCGAGGCTAAAACAAATTTCAATAGAAAGGAATAACTCAAATCCTCCATCCGAAATTTCCTATTGAACTTCCGTGTCAGAAGTTTTTTTATATTGCAAACTATTTTTTATAAAATATTCATGTATATAGAAAATAAGAGATAGGACATTCTATGAACCCTTCGCAAAACAGTATATCTTAAACTCTTTCTAATGCTTATGCTGTAAACCATTTACACATTGTTCCCTACTCTTATTTTCTACTCTCAATCATTTTTTTTTATATAACTCTCAATTCTTTTTAGAGTATCGCGATATTAAAAATCCGCGACAAAGCTATTCCCAACACCAAAATCTGGAACATCAGATTGTTGCTAATCGTACTTTTGTGTTTAACATCCGGCCTTTCGTAATTTCTCTAATACTAATGTAGCTATAAACTTTAAAAGTTTGCCTTCAAAGTTAACAACTCTAAACAAAGACTGAAATAACACTTGCTAAGTGAATTCTTTCGAGATTTGTCAGTATTTTTACATTCCAGCAGAGCAGATTCGACATTATAAAGTAAAGAAACGACTACCTTTTGTCTCTTTTCGAATCTTTTAAAATATGAATATGAAACTCTCTCATTCAGTATGTGAAAGTCACGAAACATAAGCATACGAAGTTTTACAAAATGCACCTGACTTTGGTCAGATGCATAAATGATTTTGTACTTTCTAGAAACCTACTACGTACTCTTCCCTCATATTAATAACATTGTTAATCTCAGTGCTAATCCCAACATAAATCTAGAACTCTGTGCTTAAATTGAGACTAAACCATGTGAAAAAAGCAGTCATGAAGGTTGAAGTAATTGGCAATTTTACTCAGTTGAGCACTTCATTTCGTCGCCAATGAATCTTTTTTGAAATGCTTCGTCAATCGATCTTCATCGCTATGAAGTGAATCTCGTGTGCATTTTTTCAATATATCTTCATTCTTTAGCATCTAGCTACGAAGACATGCTATTAAATTCTTTATTAAAACTCTACTCAATCCAAACTGAAGAACTCCTTATTCCATTTTAATATAAAGAAGAGATGCAAAGACCCTCTAATAAATCCTAAATAGCGGAAACAGAAAAAACAGTCTAAGCCCCACATTAGAATAACATTCAGAATTATTAAAAAACACTTACTAAAAAATTTCTAATAGAATGAGAAATAGACTGGAAGATATAAAATGTGTGCAAGAGCTGCTTAATACATAATGTATATTCAAATAAACATTTAAAGCTCAGAAAACAAAATCATTGTGTTAACAGTAGTCCGACTCAACCTACATTTAAAATTGCTGAGCACACATGCCGATATTTCTAAAATGAAACAACATGCTTAGAAAAGTGAAACAAAATTCATGCCAGGAACATTTCATTATTGCTAACTGAAAATCCTCTAAAAAATATAGATCGAAGCAGAGCATTTTCCAATTGCTGAATCGTTGTTAAAGAGTCAAGGAATTCCTTACATGAAATGATTTTTTGTAATTAAAGTTTTACACAGTAATAACTGTAATCATGCTTTATTAAAGTTCAGTGACAGTATAAATCTCGGTTCCAGTAACTAAAGTAAAAGGAAAACAACTAATGAGCTCAACCCCAAACTGGTATGAAATTTCGGAAAAACAAAGAATATTATTAGGCATAAAGATTGCTATTAATAAGTTTATCAAGTTTTATTAAAATTTAGCTAAATACTAAGCAAACATAGCATTGACTGTGAGCAGAAATACTTCTTCACACTTAGAAAAAATCGTGGTAAATAATCCTATTTAAGAATGCTGCGTAAAACAGATTCATTAATCTGGTAAGCCACAATCTGCTTACAAAATTTTACCTAAAAAGAAAGTGCAATTTTAGAAATAGTATATCTGAAGAGATTCGAGATAGAGATTGCTGTTGATAGGAAATAATATTGATCGACATCGGAAATGAACTGGACTTCTAAGCAAATAAGCAGGCTAAGCTGGAAATGAACTGCGACTATCAGACCATTTTTTAAGGTACCTTGATGATACGCAACGTGTTCGTGTGTCCAGCACCTAGAAAAATGCCTTTCTATTCAAATAGTATAACCTCACAAAATTAATTCATTTACTTGAAATTTTGAATTTTATCTCATTAGAGCTGCTTTTAAATTGTAAACATAACTGCTTCAAACTTGGTATTCGAACATAAATGACTTTAAAATTTTTAGATGAAGAGAGCTCACAAGACACGAGACATGAAAACATCTGAGCTCATAAAAATAAAAACAAAGGAACCTTGTCTCCATCCAGTGATGACAACCACCAGGTCGTTCTTTTTGATAAAACCACGGTCCTTACCAACCGAAATACCATAATTAATTCGGGCATCGACATCGCTCGACCAGTCACTTTCTCGATTTGCTAAACAATTCAGTCATCGTTTGGCTCATCCAATTTACGTTTTAGTGTGTGTCCTGCTGTAGAAATAGTTTGGAAGAAAAGAAGCAAACAATTTTACCTCCGTAATGAAGCGGAAATATACCACGCCAAAGATGAAGCTGTCGAGCGACATGCTCATCCCGGCATATTGCAAAGACAGGCATCATCGGCCGATAACGAGATACCAAATCAGCAGACCTGATAAAAGTAAACAGTTATATTTTGCAGAATTTTATTGGAAATTCAGAACTAAATATTAGTAATTATTCAAGCTTAACTTACAATGTTCTCATATAACATTTAATATTTCAACACAGCATGTATGGTGACGTGAATAATATTAAAGTTTTTGGTCAAAATATTTATGATTTGAAGTAAGATTCAAAGTCAAGAAATAAAAAAGTTCTTAAGGTTGTTGGACTCATCGTCTGAACATGTATTTAGACTTCCACTTAGAGCGAACCGTCCGGTAGTAGTAACTAGAATCATTGCACTGGCATGACAAGACGCCGCAGCTGATGTTGCTGCAATGGCAACAGTATGTGCGATATCCGTCGGTTTTGGGGTTGCGTGGAGAAGTTCCTCGAAAAATCGCGTATGATACACCGCTGCTTCCGCTTCTTTGCAGATCTGCAAATGAATTGTCTAGAAGTAATGCATTTGACTTTATTCTTAAACTTATGATCATGTCATTTAAACTAACAAATTATCAGATGTAACAAAACAGATGCATAACAAAGTATACAAATATATTTATTGTCACCCAAAATAAAAAAAAAATCCTATCACAATCATAATCCTAATTGGGTATGATGGAGTATTTATTTACTGTTTATAACTAGAATAACTAACCTGATGCATGATTTTGAGAGCTTCTAATGGGTATTCACCTTTAGCAGTTTCACCACTAAGCATTACACAGTCAGCTCCGTCCAGAACTGCGTTTGCAACGTCACTGCCTGAAATGATTTCGAACAACTGAAATTATTCCTTCGTAAATATATCACTACTTTTCAGTGCTACTAATTTTTTCAACTCATAAAGCAATGTAAGATTAGTAACCTTCAGCACGAGTTGGTCTCGGCTTTTTTATCATCGATTCAAGCATTTGGGTAGCACAGATGACCGGTTTTCCCGCTTTGTTACATTTAGCAATCAACATTTTTTGGGCCAAAAATACTTTTTCAGGTGGAATTTCAATACCCAAATCTCCGCGGGCAACCATAACACCATCTGCTTCTTCAATAATTTCATCGGCTCTAGAAAAATTGTCATTCTGTCTCCTAAATTTTGCTGACAACCTTTAAGGACTCATACATATGGAATTGTATTATTTCCACATTACGGCACTAATAATACAATTTCCAAATTCCCACTCCATAATCTTGTTGGATAAGAAATCACTTACTTATCAACACCTTCTTGATTTTCAATCTTTGCTATGATTTTTATGTATTTTCCTTTTTCACCAAGCACCTTCCTTATCATGCTGACACCTCTACCATTGCGTATAAATGAAGCAAAAACGATATCTACTTTCTGAAACATTAATAATGAATTGCTTCATTCACTCAGTCCTGGTTAATAACGTGAAACAAATAAGCTAACAAATTTCTTGTGGACTTACATAATTATAGCACATGCTTTATTTTCAGCGCCATTACTGTGTAAAAAAGTAAACTTCTTTGCTGCTATCGTTTGATTTTTGGCCTAATAATTTACAAAGAATACCTGCTCCACACCAAACTGCAAATCCTTGATGTCTTTTTCAGACACAGCTGGCAAATCGACAGGTGTACCGGGCAAATTGACACCCTTTCTGCTTCCTAACATACCCCCATTTTCAACGGTGCACAATATACCTTCATTTTCTAAAAGACTCATAAATTTTCAAAGGAATATGCATTAGAATTCACATTTCAAGATAGGTATAAACTCAGTTAATAAAACTAAGTGTGCAATAACCTCATATAATGAGTGATTAAGGAAGAATCGAACACAAAAGCTTCTAAAATAACAACGCAACATAAAAATTCAGGTTACAAAAAAATACGAATTTGCAGTTGAACTTGTATTTTTCTCATTATAGCATAGTATAGGAATGTCATCTAAATCAACAAAAATTGTGAAGGATTTTTTTAACAGTGATTTCCATGAAAATGTGTATGGTAAATTCATTTACAAAAACTCAAACTTCCCATCAGCACTAAATATGTTCATGCTCAATAAATTATAAGCATTTCAATTTCTTTGTGTGATTAGAAAATGACAATTTACCGATGGAATTGACGATTAATGAAATAAGACCGTCATCAATAAAGACTCGTGAGCCAACACTCAGAACTTTAGTGATGTTCTTATAATCAACGAAAATGTTCTGAGCAGTTCCTGCGTTTTCCATGGATGGATCAGTAGTTAATCGGATCCGATTTCCTTTCACCAGTTCTACTTCTGCAGTAGCACCCTAAATAATAAGGACTTCGAGAGTTTTCATTTCTTTAATTTTGATGCATGGCTATTAACTGCTATTCTTATACTTAGTAAAAAAAAAAGGACGGACTCCCTTCAGCAGACCGGTACGTATTTCTGGACCTTTCGTATCGAGGGCAATTGCAACCAACCGTGGCTCGCTGAAACTGTGTGCTGCTGAGCGAACATTTGCTATTGTTTCCGCGTGGTACTGAAATTAAAAATTAAAAAAAAATGGACAGAACTGATTTTTGACTCAATATTTTTATTAAAATTCGAATTCCCATCTATAATATTTAAAGTTGCACATGCAGAGGTTGAGAATTAGACTTTGGCCATACTCCTTACTTCATATGATCCATGGCTGAAATTCATGCGGGCAATATTCATTCCGTTGATAATCATTTCCTGCAATTTCTCCACGCTTCGGCATGCTGGTCCTACAATCATTTAAAAGTTAACTTCTTATATCACATTTCCTTATATCACAATTTGATTGTCAAATGATGATCTATACTCACCAATAGTACAAATTATTCCAGTTTTTCGAACCACACATGGCTGTTCACGAATATTTAATTTGCATAAATGTTCCAAGTTTGTACTTTCAGGCAATGGTACCAATTTTTGTTCTTGCCTGTAAAGTACGTTAAAGTTTATTATAAGTAACGATAAGATTGATCACTGATCATATAAAATCTTCTTTACAATTAACATCAAAAGCATCTTTTTAAAAACAGGCATGACAAACTCATGAATTTAGGGATATGCTAATATAACCCAATTAATCGATTACTCGAAATCAGTTTGGGTCAAATAAAAAATTAGTTTTGAGTTCATTGGTTTAGTTAACAAATTTGTTAACTTAGTCACCAAAAACCTGCGTTGATGGAATATGTATATTTACAGAGAAAATATTTTTTTTTAAGAACAATGATTTAACAAATGAAAAAAGCCAAAAACTTGGAAAATTAGAAAACTTTCAGTAACATCTGGCAGTGCAAGTCCATCACACAGTTCTCGGGAAATTCTATTCATTAAATCTTATAAATAAGATGGTACTAATCCAGACATATACTAACCTTTGTTAATTTTAAATTTAACCATTTTTCCAGCATTAGATGGACATGAAAAGAAAAAAACGGATGCATCATCTATGCTAACTCCTTTCATCCAAATCTGAGACAAAGTAAACAACTCAACAGTGGATGATGCTATCATCATTTGCAAAATGAGATAGACTTTATTTGAGTTAAAAACGGACTGTTTCTAACAGAAGTTAAAAAGCACTACAAAATCAAATCTAGCACCAGTTGAAGAATTTTCTAGAATTCTATAGTTCTGTCAGTTGTTGAAATGACCACTTCACCTACGATTTTTATTATAACTTAACGCAACAAAATGTTGTCAACAAGAACATTAAGAGGAGACCAACAGGATGGTTACGGTCTGTAAATAAGCAGTAGGAAAAAAACTAACGAAATTAAGCGATCATAACCACTTCGATATTTTAACATAAGTTCTTTATCGTCATTGTTATGTTGCGGTGGTCTCATATCTTAACTTTCTTACAGGGGAAGCTACAAATAGAATGAATCAGAGTAGGAACACTTTGAAATATCTACCATCACAAATATCTACAGCACCTTTGAAGACAAATCAACACACTCCTTCTTCCTCCTCCACTTGACACGTCACACAGCACACACTGAAAGCCATAAGAAGAAGAGCTGCTCTGTTCCATCAACTCTAGCGAGACCCTTTTTTATGTCCAAATCATTGCAATTATTCAAACAGTTCCAACCCTCCCACCTACCACACACTCTGTGGAGAAGAGTGTCGTGCATACACGCATTAGTCATAATACGAATGAATTTGATAGTCATCCATCCATCTAATCTGAATTTATTTGAACTGAGTTCTCTTTTGATCTTTGCTCTCTAATCCTTAGACTAATTCCATCGGTTCCTTACTGGTTAGTTATTTTTTGAATGCCTGACCGACATACCTATTGGTATTTCGTAACTGATAACTGGATCTTATTAAAATTTTAATTTACCGTTCAAGCTGCAGTTAATTAAAGTTACATCAAATGGAGATACCTTTATTCTTACTATAGCAAATTTTTGTGTCACTCTAATAGCTCCACCAATCTCAGTGGTCCTACCAGTGTTATCCCTTAGCATTTTACAGAACTCTGATAAGATGAGATAAGAAATAAAAACCGAAATTTTGTGTTTGTCAAACAGAAAAGTAAATATCAATTGTTACTTTTATTGCTGCTATTGCTGATCTTCAACTTTGCAATATTTCTTTTTTTTAAAATCAAAACTTATAAAATTTTTGTATCTTATTGCTTTGGAAGATATGAGTCATAGCTGTATAGCTTTTTTTGAAGAAAGAGGATGTGAATGAAATGCCTGCAGGACCTTTTAACATCAGTGTCTTATTGCTTTGGAAGATAAAATGTTCCTTCTCTCATCTTTTCTGTTTTCCTCTTCCTTGCCCTTAATACCATTAACAACAAAATGAAGATTTATAAATGTACTGTGGTTGCTAATCTTAAACTTCTCAGTCTGTACTATTAGTCAACTTCACTTCTTGCATTAATAAACTTCTAATGTTTGAGGAATAAAAAGAAATTCCGCAAGTTCCTCAATATTTTTCGAGAGTACATCCTTTAAAGAAACTAGCAATTTAGATGTTTTGAAAAAAAGAAACCTTTTGGCATCCTATAATACAAACATGAAAGATAAGCGAAGTGAAATTATTTTTCATTTCACTATAACTATGAAACCAAAAATACATTCCTTGCATCAGATGTTTCTCAGTAAGTCAATTCAATAACTGTAATACAATTACTGCTAGTCCAATTGAATTTCTTCCAGTTATAATCTCAAAAAGAAATTGAGATGAAATAAGACTATTGTTAACACAGGACAGTGAGAGCAAAAGCATTAGTGTAATCATAACGAACCGGAAATATTCTCCGCTTTGTTCTTCTTCGATGGTCATCCGATGCCACAATTGGTCATCAGTGACACTTAACTCTTTTGGCTGCTTGAAATTGATGCTGTGTACTTCGTCGTCTTCTTCCTTCATTCTCTTACAATGTTGTTCCTGGGAAATTTAATTTGTAATCAATTTTCTTTTTATTTTCGAAGGAATATTCTCGAGCCGATGTTTCTGACCCTTATCAACATATCGATGTCACTCATTCTTTTGTAACTAATCTCTTAATTTAATGAAATCAAATTTTATAATAATAATACTACTGATTACTAGGAAAGTGCCTTTCACATAATTTCCAGGCAATCAAGAAATTATAATCAGTTTATCATTTTTAAGATAACCTAGAAAAACAATTTCCCAATAAAGCTAGCAAAAATGATAAAATCGGTCTTATCTCAATGGTAACTTGTTACTATATTGCAAAGAAAAGAGTTCAAATTAAAATGAATCAGCTAATACTATACTGGAAGTATAGTATTAGCTGATGCACTTTCATATTCCTATAAACTGGAGAGAAGAATCAAAAGACAAAACTCGTCGTAAAACTTTCAAATAACTAATAATAATTCCTAAATAAATGAATAAATAGATGAATTGAATAAACAATTGAATAAATGAATAGATAATTTCTAACATAACAAAATACGTTTAAGTGTAAGGATGACAAGAAGCAAAACGACTCTTGCTTTCAAACAAAGCTTTAAATGTGAATTAGTTTTTCTTCTTTTCATAAAAAAAGAAAAGACAGGAAAGAATAGAAATATTTTTTGCGTTCTCGTTTAAACAAAGATGACGTGGGAACAATAAACCCATGAATTTCAGGATTTCATTATTTCAATCCTTGGCACTTCATACACTATCTTCTACCTAATCCACATACCACTTCAGAAAGTTTGAAATTGAAATGTGCCTCACATAAGTAATGTTGTGCCGAAATTCGTTATTTTCAAAGTGCACTGTTCAGTTTTCAATCTAATTTTTCATTGAAACAGTGGAAATGTATAAATGAAGGGAAAGAGGAAGAGAGAAAGAAGAGCGAACAGGTGTACTTCCTTACCCATCAGTACATTTACTGAGAGCACCTGAGGATGATGCACTTGCTTCCTGTTCTGCCGTAACCCGTTGAGATACACTCTCCTCTCCAACGAAAGTTCACACTTGCATTCCTTCTCAATGTCCTCGCAACATATCTACTCATCTCTTCCCCCAAAGGTCATCGTCATTTGTTGTCACTGCCCCTCTACACTTATCTATCATTGTAGACATCAACGCGGGAAGAGCATAGCTGTCCCTCAAATTTTCAAATATTTTGCACATAACAAATCAATAAACAGATTGCCATTCTGGGTCTTATTCTCAACTAGAGTGGGAGGTGAGATAACATTGCTAAGTAATGAGATACGTGTGCTAGCAGAGTTAAAGTACGTACATCAGTATAGTTCAATAATAACTGTGCTAGCAGAGTTAAAGTACGTACATCAGTATAGTTCAATAATAACTGTGCTAGCAGAGTTAAAGTACGTACATCAGTATAGTTCAATAATAACTGTGCTAGCAGAGTTAAAGTACGTACATCAGTATAGTTCAATAATAACTGTGCTAGCAGAGTTAAAGTACGTACATCAGTATAGTTCAATAATAACTGTGCTAGCAGAGTTAAAGTACGTACATCAGTATAGTTCAATAATAACTGTGCTAGCAGAGTTAAAGTACGTACATCAGTATAGTTCAATAATAACTGTGCTAGCAGAGTTAAAGTACGTACATCAGTATAGTTCAATAATAACTGTGCTAGCAGAGTTAAAGTACGTACATCAGTATAGTTCAATAATAACTGTGCTAGCAGAGTTAAAGTACGTACATCAGTATAGTTCAATAATAACTGTGCTAGCAGAGTTAAAGTACGTACATCAGTATAGTTCAATAATAACTGTGCTAGCAGAGTTAAAGTACGTACATCAGTATAGTTCAATAATAACTGTGCTAGCAGAGTTAAAGTACGTACATCAGTATAGTTCAATAATAACTGTGCCACAAGGACACAAAAGACCTTTGATTGAGCGCAGTCGCAGATAAGCAGCAACACTAGTGCTGTAAACAATGATGGGAAAGAGCGCCTGCAGTAATATGAATGAGTGCATAAGGAGCGCTCCTATCCTTCTCATATACACATTGTCTGTTTGTGCATGTGTATATGTGTGTGTATGTGTGTGTGTGTGTGTGTATGTGTGTGTGTATGTGTGTGTATCTGTCTTTGTCAGTCCATATACCAAATAAAGTAAATAATTTGCGGTGGAAAAAAAAATATTTCAGCGAAAGAGATCGGAGATAGATTCTCTTTCGGAAGTCGAACAGTTCTATAAGCATCGCTTGACTACTATTTCTGCCTTAAAATCAACTTTGCTTTACTTTCTAAAATGCTCATTCAATTTGTCGCCTAAAAGGGGCAGCAGTTACTCAAAATTTTGATATGAACGAGGAATGTCAATCACTTCGCAATAACTTAACGATTTTCTTATTGAACCAAATATGAAAACCAATATTTTTTATGTCAGGATTTCCTTTTAAACTACTTACACTGAGGGAATCTCTCTTTAACTACTGTAAGCGAAAGGAAGCTTTGCAAAGTTCATACTTAATAATTTGAATTTCAATAAAAACCTCATGTGTGGATGATTTGACAAAAATTGCGAGTTCTGATTCGAAAACTGACGTAATTTTCGGTAGTTGAAAAATAAGAAAACAATCTAAAATTTCACTAAGTTTGCGTGAAAAATGAGATGGAAGTGCTTAGAAAGAAGTAATGATAAGCAGGAAGGAAGGGGAATAAGTATAGAGACAAGAGACGTAAATTTCTTAAGACTACACTTTTGTGGCAGCATTTCTCGTTACTTCCTTTTTTTAACATAATAAAATTTCTATGTTTCAAGAACTTTGAACATTTGCTATTTATATTCGAGGAGCAAAGGAAGTTGAAATTTACGTATCATTTTAAAAATTAATATAAAAAATGCAGTAAAACGCAGTGAATGTTTACTGCTTAACTATTACTGGGGGTCAAGTTAAAATATCATATGATGAGTCAATGAAGCCTGATAAATACACAGATGACAACTGCTCCACTAGTAATATAATCCATCTGCATGACAAACAAATTCGCTTATTCAACGGTTCTTTTTTTCACTAACAATTTCCTGTCCAAAAATAACGGTTACTTGAGCATAAGCAGTGGACTAGCTCAAGTAATCGGCTAAAATTGGAGGATTAATCAGTTTCCAGGAGGGAACTACAGAAATTTATTTCTGTCAAAAAGTTTTAATGTTATATGAAGGATTGTAATTTAGTAAATGATGAGAATATGAACATATTATTCGGGAAATTGCAAAAGAAAGAAAGGTATTAGAGGAAGTTTTCAGTTAAAATTATTGATTTCCAAATAATTCATTCATTACATATTTAAGCTATTAAAATCAGAAGTAAAATTTTAATTAGATGATAGAGAGTATCTAATATTTCAAAATTAAGAAATCCAAACACTAACATATTATATCGATCACAACTACTATTATTGAATTTCTGCTTCAGACGATGATTACAATGTTAGATAGCTATTGCCTATGAAGCATTCCAGTAACGAAGTTTTATCCTAGTTGACAAATAAGCAAAAATAGATTTGGGGTACATATATGCAGGAAAATGGATTTTTGAGAGTTAAGAGAGCTGCATATATTCACAGAGCATTAATAAAGTGTTGTCAGCTTACTAATAGATGAATTGAATTGATGACCCAACTGAAATGTTTGATGAACGAACTAAGCTTCATAAATCAAAAATTTAGCGAAAATATTGGACAAAAACAGAGTCCAATAATAGATTAATTAATGAGAAGAACAAAATTTACTTGTCTATTTTTAGCAGTGAAATGGTCAATGTGTCAAGAGTATTGCTTGAATTGTAGAAATACAGATCAAAAAAATATAACATTTTTTTACTGATATAAAAATGGGATAATTTACTATCCCAGCTCTCGAATTCTCTCCTAAAGCTTTGTAAGCGAATGAGTCATGTCTTTTTTTGTTTTGTTTTGTTTTTTTTTTTTTATATAGTAATTAAATTCAACTAAGTATGCCTTACTTACTTACTTATAAATCTTAAATGTTTCTTTGGTTTCAAACATTTATTTGGCTTATATTTAACGCTGTTTTTGATTGCTAAATGCTCATATAAACAAAAAAATGAAGGCCAAGAAACTAACGAAAGTGTTAGATAAGTTCATCGAGTTGAAGAGCACAAATAGCCTGAAGGACGGTCTTCTCTAAACGTTGCGTCATTTTATCAAAAAGCTAAAAACAAAAGAAAGCAATGAAAATAAATTAATTAAAAATAAAATGCCAGCATTTTTTAATGTTTTGAAATAGAACGGAAAAAATTGAGACAAATTAGTAACTTCGACTGGTGACGGAGTGCTATACAGATTGAAAGAAATGAATTAAACTGTAATATTTTCATTGGATATGAGCACTAAAAGCAGCCTTTAAATTGATCGTATGCAACTTTAATGGGTAGGTAAGCTGTTTTGATTATAATTGAATTTAAATTCCATGCATTTTAGACCTTGAATGAAGCCTTCTCAAGCAGTTCTCATTTTCTTGGCTAATAGATTGGTCATTAGTTAGTACTTTCTAATGATTTTTAAGAAAATTTACTGATTGACAGTCCCAACTTCATAACTTTGCTAATTCTATTTCTAAATAATACGATGAAAAGGGATAATAAAAAAATTCAATTTTAGAAAATTTAATACTTTAAAACTTTTAAGATCCACAACAGTTGAAACAAATTGCAAAAAAATGTGATAGTTGTGAAGAAATTGAACTAAGTAGCGTGAACTTTGGATAAAAATCGAATAACTGTACAGGAAATATAAATATGAAAAGAGACTTGAAGCTGGTGTTGTACATCATGATGGAAAATTACTAATAGATAGATGATTGATGGGAGATGAAAAATAATTTTCCAAATAGTGCGAAAATTATTTTCCGAAAGTTATTTTTTCGAGGAACATAGTGGCTCGAAAAGATGAGAGATCAGAAAGATATCATACTGATTCCGAAGAGGTATCATTTTTCATCTCATCTGTTCTTTCTTAGAAATATCAATGTTTAAGTTAGCTCAGTTTTAACCTAGTGAATTTGCATACAATGCGAATTAGGACAATCACAAAAGTAATTCTATTGTTAAAATTAAGTTAAAAATGTTTTAGGCTCCTTTTTAGATAGAACTTTATTTTTTTTCGAATTTCGTCAAAAAACTAAAACTAAAACATTCAACTGGATTTTTGTTTAATATGAAAGATCTGACAAAAGATGTGACATTGCTTTTGTAAAATTTACGAGAAAGCTAGGACAATAGCATCAAGGCATTTAGTTCCTTGTTTCTTACTCATTTTTGGATCCATTTGACATAACAAAAAATAGTTTTAAAGCGCTTTCCAAAATAAATCATATCACTGAGTCATGTATTGATATAATTGTTTTAACAAGGAGCTGAACTGACTGATTAAAATTTTCGGACGATTAAATTCCTCTTTTAGATCATGATCTTGTCATAGTAACTACATATTCATATCTGTACTTCGGAGATTTCCGATAGTTACCTATTATAGGAGAATGATGATTAGAGATAATTCAACGTTCTTCCATCGTTCAAATTAAAATGAACAAACGACGTACGTCAAACATTGCTGTCTTTTTGTTTGTTTAATTCAAAAAGTCCAATTTTAATCAAAGTTCGGCAATCTTGAAAATGATTTATTGTGCTAAAACAACTACAATATTTAATTCCTGCTGAACATATGGAATTGATGGAAATAAATGTCACACAAGAAAGAAATTCAATTCAACAAATATACGTTTTTTATGATTCAGTGCCATCTAATTCTATCTTACTAAGGAATCAAGAGATGAAAAACTGTTTAAGAAATTTCATATGATGTGTCAAATGTATGACTGATAAAAGCTTATCACTAGAAGGTATGAACAATATTGCCAACTGAAACAAAAATTTAGTAATTTATTGAATTTTATAAACTCATAAGTACTTGCTAATACGACTTAAAGTTATAGTAGTACGCAATTTTTTCTTGAAATTGCTTTCAATTTTATGGCAACCATATGTAAACTTGGTACTTCATCATTTAAGTAAATATACTAACCATCGATTTCCCTTAGAAAAAGTCAAGCAGCACAATATGTCTTATTAGTAAATTAAAAATTGTATGATTCGATATTTCTTAGTCCCTAGGCTTATTTATTCGTATGTATCACATGTAAGTATTGTTTGTATATAATGTCTCGTGGCATTTTCAGCTAATCAAAGGCTTTCTTCTTTTTTGAAATGTCATCATTGTTTATTTGTCATTAAGGAAAAAAGCGACTCATTTCAATAGCAATAACAAAAATGTTTGCTTGACTACATCTCAACAATTATCATAAAGGATAAAGCATTAAGCTGAAGCCAGGATTCACTCATTGCTATCGATTTAGACAAGCTAAGATGAGGCTAACTTTGTTTATGCAAGCATTCAATTTCGCCTGCTTCAACATCAAAGCCTTATTGATTGAAGTGACTTCGCATAGATGGAAATTGCTTGACAGTAAGGAAGCAAAAGGTGGCAGGCAGAAAGGAAAGCGAAAACAGGCAATCGTGCAGTACTATGTGCGCCTGTAGTAGTCAATAGGCGCATCCGACGCATAGTGAGCACAGTGCAATCGATATGAACGTAGTAGTGATGGCATGGCGGGGTGGTGATGCGTGCTGGCTGATTGGGCGGTTGACTTGTATTCCGGATTGATCTTGACAACATGGAAGTACCTCGGTGTATTTTGAAATGTGGAAGCAGTAAGCACATGTCACTTGCTAGGCTTCTTTTTACTCTTAATAAGCAGTCCAGAAGTATTGTCTGCGACTCATGCTGAATTAAATTTACTGCAAAGCTTCATGCTGAATTAAATTTACTGAAAAGCTTCATGCTGAATTAAATTTACTGAAAAGCGCTGCTAGCTCCGGAAGAGCGTTTCTGGTCTCCCAGTGATCAGAATAACACTGAACAAATATTTCAGCGCCATCGGTTAATGAAAATTGAAATTCGAATTTCAATATTGGAGAGTTCCTGTGCACTGTTTATAAAATGTTTCTTACTAGTAGTAAAGAAATCCTAAACAATCGAGGAAATGCCAGATTGTAGGTTTTTGAGAACATCAAGGTCGACTTATTAAATTAACCGTTGTGATTTTTGTTCGTGTAAATTAGGAGCTCTATCGAATGGATGTGATGGACAAAAGATCACTTTTTTATGAATTCTATATAGTTTTGTTCAGGACAAAATAATTCAGTTGGAATGTTTTATGACTTAATGAGAATTGACTGACTTTTTCGTTTCAAAACAGAACTGAGTTCCAAAAAATTGCCAAAAGAAAATAATTCATTGCCTTTCATTAAACAAGTCTACTAATCCAAATTCGAAGCAGATGGAATTGCTGGAGCATATCTAACCTAACTCAAAGATCTACAATTCACAGATGATCGTATCTCATTATCATAAAGTGAAACGAGGAACACGTCTTCCTACATCCATTTTTTTCTGCTCCATGTAAAGATAAGACATCATCTAAGTGCACAGCGTTGCTGATATTATCAAGTTAACAAACAGTTCATTTCAGTTAATTATAGGAACCACCAGTTACATTTCAATACCAAATTAAATTTTTACACTTTCATTTTATATTTGCCACAATTCATGTAAATTTACATTATGTCAAAGTGCACCTTAGTAGATCATTGCTAACATTATAAAATGAAAAATTGACATAACAGAACTTTCTTGCGTTTCCATATGACATTTCAGAAACGTTGTGAAACCTTTTCTTATCTCTCACATTTTGTTATTAAGTGGTGAAAAGTTTCCTGTTTGTTTTGCAGCTTTATACAATTTAGTGAATTAAATACAATTGATAAGCTAGAAGAAAGGAGTTAGGGTCGAGGTTGTAATTCGCAGTGAGCCAGAAGAAAGGAGTTAGGGCCGAGATTGTGATTCGCAGTGAGCCAGAAGAAAGGAGTTAGGGCCGAGATTGTAATTCGCAGTGAGCCAGAAGAAAGGAGTTAGGGCCGAGATTGTAATTCGCACTGAGCCAGAAGAAAGGAGTTAGGGCCGAGGTTGTAATTCGCAGTGAGCCAGAAGAAAGGAGTTAGGGTCGAGGTTGTAATTCGCAGTGAGCCAGAAGAAAGGAGTTAGGGCCGAGGTTGTAATTCGCAGTGAGCCAGAAGAAAGGAGTTAGGGTCGAGGTTGTAATTCGCAGTGAGCCAGAAGAAAGGAGTTAGGGCCGAGGTTGTAATTCGCAGTGAGCCAGAAGAAAGGAGTTAGGGCCGAGGTTGTAATTCGCAGTGAGCCAGAAGAAAGGAGTTAGGGCCGAGGTTGTAATTCGCAGTGAGCCAGAAGAAAGGAGTTAGGGCCGAGGTTGTAATTCGCAGTGAGCCAGAAGAAAGGAGTTAGGGCCGAGGTTGTAATTCGCAGTGAGCCAGAAGAAAGGAGTTAGGGCCGAGGTTGTAATTCGCAGTGAGCCAGAAGAAAGGAGTTAGGGCCGAGGTTGTAATTCGCAGTGAGCCAGAAGAAAGGAGTTAGGGCCGAGATTGTAATTCGCAGTGAGCCAGAAGAAAGGAGTTAGGGCCGAGATTGTAATTCGCAGTGAGCCAGAAGAAAGGAGTTAGGGCCGAGATTGTAATTCGCAGTGAGCCAGAAGAAAGGAGTTAGGGCCGAGATTGTAATTCGCAGTGAGCCAGAAGAAAGGAGTTAGGGCCGAGATTGTAATTCGCAGTGAGCCAGAAGAAAGGAGTTAGGGCCGAGGTTGTAATTCGCAGTGAGCCAGAAGAAAGGAGTTAGGGCCGAGATTGTAATTCGCAGTGAGCCAGAAGAAAGGAGTTAGGGCCGAGATTGTAATTCGCGGTTAAAGATAGTTACTTAGTCATTTACTGTATTGAAATTTGCTAAGTTGTGGAACGCTGGGATAGTTATAATAAGATAAATTCGGCAAATTTTTCGATAAAAATAAATTATTCGCCTCATCATTTGATCATTGTTGCATGAATAACTAATGCATTGTCTTAGACAGAAAAAGGGAATTTTTCCTTCTAAAATTAATATTTTACGATTTGTTTTCTTATTTTCAAAAGTTTGTAAAGTTTGACACGAATTTGAAATCTGGTAAACATGGCTAATTATTAAATTATTTATTATTTTAGAAAGTTCTACACTTAAACAACTAGTGCTTATATTTCTAAAGTTCTGCAAATTAATAAATAAACTGCTAAAACTTGAAAAGCAATAAAAAGTAGTTCTCCCTTTTGAATTCTAATTCATCTTTCTTACTATATATCTAAACTATGTGAATGACAACTGCGTGTTGTACTGCTACAAAATTGCATTCTACCGCACATTTCTAACGTATTATATAGTGTCGTTCTTAAAATTGCTTGGAAGTTAGTTCAAGTTAAAATAATTTAGTTTTTTAAAAAACAGAATTTCTTAATCAGTTAGTACATAAATGTTCCATGGCACAAACTTATTGGTTGAAGAATATTGAGCTGATTAATCATTTTTGTTTTAGGACAGAAGATTCAAAAAAAGTTATATTGCTGTCATTTTCCAACTTATATTTTTGTGCTTTTCAAAATAAAAATCTTCCAAACTATTGCTCTCATGACCTTTGACTCAACACTAACACTTTAATCTAGATAAAGTTTACTTTGTTTTGGTACCATTCACTTCAAGAAAATTAATACGGGAAGACCTTCCAACTCTTTTTGCATAAAAATGCACAGATATCAAATATTTACATACACTGTTCCATAGATAATTCAAATAATGTGCAATTTATGAGCCCGTGAAAATAAAAATAAACAGAAACTAATGGATTTCTAAACTAAAGGATGAGTCATTCTAGAATTCTTGCGAAAGCTCATACAAAATAAAATTTGGAATAAAATTATTTAAATGCTAATTTTCCCTCAGTTCGTCCTATTCAAAAAACACTGAGTATTGATCCGTAAAAATGTCAATATTTTAAACAATAAATCGGGAGTTTGTTCTTTTAAACCAAAAATTTTCACTTTAATCCTTTAACATGTTTTGTTTTTCTTCTTCCTAATATTTTCCCCGATTTATTGCTCTTCCAATTTTATTTAAATATTAATTGCCATAAATATAGCACCTTTAAAATGCTATCATTCATCATTAACTGTGCACTTTCAAGAATTTTCGATGAGCACAAATCACTGAAGCAGTGAATGCGTTTATAAGGCGCTGCTCAATGTCGTTAAGTGGTACGGGGACTAACCTATCAAAGAACTTCGCTGCGAAACATTGAAATGTCGTATAAATTTGGTATTTTGAAAGGAGGGATGACAAGGACGCCACGGGACAGTCATAAGAGGCGTGTAGTGGGAGAGCAAATAAAGTGATTGTAGGCCAGAAGTCCTTACTTGGCTTCTAACCCTATGGTTGCACGGGTTACGCTGGTTTGTTAACTTTTTGTAATAATTTGTTCTATCGTGACTAATAGCTTGGCGCAACTCTTCTGCGTCATCACAATTTGTCACGTGTGCGTCATTACGCTTATCACATGATTTCGGACACTTATTTGTTGTTGAATGCAAGCCGTGATACTCGTTACTATCGTGATTCACAAAATTCTCTGTTTTAAACAAATTTTGGGACATAACGGCAGTAACGCATTCTTGATAGGACTCGGTTAGAGGTTTCCGTGAAGTGACACGTTGAACATGGAAGAGTGAGTTTTGTGGCTGAATGTGCTGTAGGGCAGTGTCATCGGTAACGTTGACACATTCGAGCGATGTCCCATGTGTGCGTCGCTTCTTTACTGAATTGATGCGATTGAGGCGTAGCTTTCGTGCTGAATTCCACATCGCTTCTACGTGCCAGTACCAATGCCAATAGATATACAACTGAAAATAAATTTAGAAAAGTCACCAAAGTGACCCAAAATCAAAGAATTTCATAACATTTCTAGCTGAAGAAAAGTTGAACTTTGACATTTTTATTTGCTTTATTTGTAATGAATTAATTACTTCTACGTGCGTTATCTTTTCATTTTCCAAATTTAATAATGTCAAGTTGTAAAGAACTGCTTGCAATAATGGGAAGTAATACCAGGAAGAAGTTCAGTGATGCGCCAGTAGCATAAATAGACACCGATAAAAGTGAAGCACTGTTTTGATCACCGGTAAATGTCGGCAAGACCCTTGGTAGAGCAGCCAAACTTAAAATCAGCAACCCGACCCCATAGGCACTTTGCTAAAAAGTAATGAGAATCCTTTGTACTGTGCATTTGTGACATTTTTCAACTAAGCGCTGTTAGAGCATAAAGGAAAGAGGAAAATGATATAAACTGTTGTGCTGAAGAAACTGTGTCCCAAAAGGGAAATATGACAGGAAGAGTTTAAGGCCATTGAACTTGTCATCTCTATACTATTCTTATTTTTTTTAACTTAATCGATATTTTAACATTCCAATCCAATTCAAAGTGTTTATTGTTTAGATGTCACATACAAAAACCTTTTTATTCAAAAAAGACAAGTTCTGTTATATACAGGCCTAGTATGCAAATAATTTGGTATGACCTTCTTCGGTATAACAGCATAATATTACCTGGATAAGAAGAGGCCATAATGAGTAAGGCCTTGGTCTTGATACGAATGCAAATGGCAGGCATATGGCAAAGGCAAGAATGTGACAAACACACCACATGAACCTTCCATATCCACCATCCAGGTGCTGTGCTACGCAACTGTCAATACCCCATAATGAGTGAAACAAGCCGATGTCAAAAATGATGATGTCTACACCGACCAGTAAAACGGGTTCTGTTCCGTTGATGAAATCACAGAACAGTATCTGAAATTGATTTAAATTAAACTTTGAAAGTTTGCACTCTATCAGTAGAGATATTGTCTCGCACCAAAGTTCAATGAAACTATTAGTTCCATTGTGTTAGAGGCTAGAGCAAAAAGAAATTTATTTCTTCACATTAATTCACTTTTCGTCTTCAATTTTCAGTTTGAATATAAAAAATTCCGTGTTTACTTGCTTCTTATCTTCCTCATACATACACGTATTTTTGATGGCTTTGCGCACTATCGTGGATACCTGATTGTAACGGAAAAGTGAAAAGAAATGTTGTGCCATAGCCCAAATGCAAATGGTAAGTTGTAGTAGACCGAGATAAAGTGAAATTTGTGAATTAAGATAGCGATGTCCCAAAATTTTGGAACTTTCATCGTGGATCACCAGTAACTTCATTAGCAGCTATCAGCTTGCATCTTGCATTCTATCCTGTAATTTCAGGTCAGGTTGAGGTCACCTTTCACTTCATCACATGTGGCATGTATAGCTGATTTATATTTTTATATTCTGATCAAGCTCTTGGTTTATTTAAATATTTCTTAACTCTTTACCACTTCCGACAATAATTCGGTTAGACTAATTTATGCTCGCTGATAACTTTTCTGCTTTATATATAACAACAAGAAGCACAAAATTAATACATAATAGTTGTGTGACAGTTGCATCTTACACAGATGATATATTCAGTTCAGATCACGATATCATTATCAGCCTCACATCTATGCTGCAAAAATCCGGCAGGAATTAGTTTAAAAACAAGGGAATGAGGAAAATCTTGAACAATGGTGCTAAGCAACAGGTAATAACAGGATATGGCATTATAACAAAGTAGCACCAAGGTGCAAATAAATGAGTTAAATGCCAAACTCTTCATTACGAATAAGATAGCCCCCAATTTTGGGAGCATGTTTTATTGGCACATAAAAGATCGATTTTTTAACAATTTTGATGCATTTCTATTTTACTTTGTGTCTTTTCAACCTTCACCACCGTGTCTAGTTCGACCTTTGAACTATGGCAATACTTCATGAAAACTTGAAATCTAAAAAATATCGATATATTGGAGAAACTAAAACTTGTCGTTAGAACTAATTGGCAGAGTTGTGTTGAAAGCAAAATTATCAAGCTGCTTTTAGTAAAAAGATAACAAGAATTCATTTTTGCTGAAATGTGCCATTCAAAAACAAAGAAAAAAAATGTCGAAAAGTGTCAGAAGATACGAATTTTCAAATGGACTAAAAAATTTCTTTTCTCTTAGTTATCAACACAAGTCAAAGGAAAGTCTTTTGCAAATTATAAAACAATGCAATATTTTCATTCACTAATAAACATTTTGTCAAATTAATTCATTCAAAGATTTTGAAACTAAAAAATGAATGAGTTAGAAATTATCAAAAAGACATTGGTTAAAATAAAATTTCTAAGGAATAAATTACATTTTCAAGTTAATCTAATAGATTAAGTAAGATGTTTATTAACTTTGACTTTATTTATTGGTATTAATTAACGATGAAATGATGCGAATTACATTGCTACATCAAATAAGGCTAATACATTCCAATCAATAAAAAATAAACGAAGTGGGAAGATTTTGGAATTAATTAGATGAAAGGGATCAGCTATCGTATAATTAAAGTCGTTCTCTATCTTCATCCATCACGATGATATCAGTAAGATCAAGACTGAGGTGATAAGATATCACCTGCTAATTGGTGGTTCAGAGGTGTTATGTTTAATGGTCCAAAGCAAAAATTTTTTTTTAGCCTTTTTTGGGGCATTAGCCAAAAGTTTACTTGCATACTAACTAAATTAAGCATTAACATGCTTGTTATACAATCTGTTTTTACAGACTATTACGAATCAGTACAAAGTCATATACAATTTCTTTCATTTCAATGATTTTGGAATTAGCAAGGAATTGAAGAGTTCTTAACAGAGAACTTGAATTCATAAAGTTTGGTACTTTTGCTAGTATGTAGAGATAACTGCTTTTTGACCTATAACTGATATACTTTAAAAGATTTGTAAGTTAAAGATACTACTATATCAAGAATGTTTTGGCTCACTTTAAGAGCAAAGAAACTAAGCCACGCTCATCTTATATTCGCTAAAATAGTTTTCACTGATTTCGTTATATGACTGTAAGCGAATGAATATGATTTTAAAACTTCAAATTTAAATTTGTTATTATCTAAGAAGAACTTTCAATTTTTTAAGACTGCCTTTTAATTATAGAACTATAATTAAAAGGCAGTCTTCAATTTAATTAGCATTAAATTGTTGATATTAAATTGAAATTAATGATGAACAGTTATTTAACTAATGCCGTTTACATCAAAAAATTTTTAAGTGTGAAGTTGGAAACTGAAACATTTATAAAATGCATGAATAAATGAACAGTGCAACTTTTAAATGTGTGTTTTTTAACAAGCAAAAGATGTATATGCTCTGAGGACTAAACGAGAATGGACTAGTCCCAAAACATTAGCATTTGTTTGAAAATTGAGAGAAAAAAACGACCTCGATATGCAGCACTTGGCTATTTGCTCATAATTTGAAAAGAAGATTTCAAATGAAGGACTACATTACCTCTCTAATTTAAACTAAAAGATTGTGCAATAGAAAGGTAGAAATGCTAGACAATTTGAAGATTATAACAATGTCTCATTCAAAAAGCACTTCAGTCTTGAGTTTGCAGAATACCTAGGCCAAAGGCTAACATAAGATGTCTGCAAACTGGCAGGTCATTATTATACCTAATCAGCTAAGTATTCAGTAATCAATAATCACTTACTTTTTATAATGGTCATTCATTCTACAATTGGAAAAATATGGAAATGACTTTCCAATAATAGTCAAATTCAAAAGTATCTTCAAATTTTTATATTAAACATTAAATAAATAAACAAATAACGGATTCGTCAATTAATTTAATTAATTAAAATTGTGATTTGTAAAGAATCGACAAAAAACAACGGAACAGTTTCATTTCATACTCGAATAGTTGAGATTTCCTAATATTCCACATTGCTAATTAAGCGAAAAAACTAAAATTAGAACTAAAAAGTGAATGAAAGACACAAATCACTCAGATTTAGTCCGAAGTATATATTATGCAGTAGGTGCTGACTGATGCATCTATTTTTACCATACTTATCAAATTTATATATTTCTAATAAGGAAGTGTGTTCTTAAGTATGATTGTCATTGCTCAATAAAATTAATAAAGCTTACAGTAAGGTCATTTGATTATTGGTCTCAGAAATAGTTTAAGGTTTATTATTTTTAACATTTATCAATAGCTCTTTTCTCATTCAGAATAAACTCAAAAATCAAAATTAAAAACAAAAAGGCTCATTTATAAACATTACAAAATTGTATTTTTATTTGAAATTGTAATAAAACATTATACAAAAATTACCATAACGTTATGTATTTCTACAAAAATTATTATAAAAGAAACGAAAGTATTTTCAAAATTAAAATTTTTGCAGTGAAATGAAATAAATGAAATTAGAACAATATAATATTGTGGTAATTTTTGATTCATCTACGAATTTTTCATTTTTCTGAGTGTTTAGATATTTGCGAAGTTTTGAAAACAATATCAGAAATACTTTTTTATATCGTAAAATTTAGCGTACACCGATATTTTCATATCAAAAAAGTTTCGTTTCTTCTTTTCCAATAAATCGACCCATTTTTCTCAAAACTGTAAATCTCCTAAAAATCACAACTGATATCAATTTTTGAACATTTTTTTACTACGCTTTTTTTTCTTTTTTAAAGAACAAACTTTGACAAAAAAATTAGAAAATATCAATTTTACAAATAGTTACATATAATATTTACATTAGTGAGATAACAATAATCATAGAAATTTGCAATTCAAATGATATCGCTTAGATGAAAAAGAAATTTTGATATTACCGTTTTTCTTTCCAATTTTTACAAAGTTTGTCTTAAAAATATTCCAGTTGTAGTGATTACAGTGGAACAAAACGATAAACTGTGTATCAGAAATTCACATTCAGACAATTTCTTCAGAATTCAGTTATCATTAAACCTAATTTTTAAATGGTTGTTCTGTTGTGACAAAAAATTTTGTTTATGGGAATAATTGTTTAGGAACAAATATACATTGGAATGTTGCCTTTTTTCTAAGATTTTGTAAATAAACAGTCCAAATGTAAGTATTTATTGCGAAAATGGAACAAAAATAAAATTAAAAGAAATGAATTATCGGAATTGAACAAATTGAAAAAGCTTTTGCTTGTTTATAAATAGATCGATATTACTGTAATGTGTTGTGACAGTATTTAGCTATAATTATTATAAAAAATAGCAAAGAAATGGTTTTGTGAATAATTTTAAAATAGAATTCAATTATTCGAGATAAAGTTTTGGAGATGTTAAATTCATTTTTGTGTTTTAGACAAATCTTGATTACGTCACCAGTAAAGTGATTGACATTCTCGATCCCTCTTTAGCCAACAGAAGTTTAATATATCACTCACTATGTATATACTAAATTGTTCATATTGAAACAACTGAAATCAATAACTAAAATACTTTTTATAAAGACAAGAATTTTGCTTAGTAAATAAGAAGGCAATAAAAAGAATGCAATGAAATATAAGTACTTGATTACTAAACACAAGATATAGTGAGATAAATTCGAAACCCAAACCATCGCTTTCTGGTCAATTGCGCGCTTTTGTCGCAGTTCTATAATGTCTATCGCCACTAGGATTAACACTCTGTTCAGATGTTTCAAAGTCCCAGTGTCCCAATAATTCATCATCAAATTCTATCTTTCAAATGAATTGAACAAGAAATTCAATCAACGAGTCGCTCATAAACAGTTTAAACCGAAGAAGAAGTAAACAATACGAAAATCTTTGCTTTTCCCTTTCCATTCTTTATCTGTGTATGTGGTAGGATTTCCGGTTATTATGATAACAGTGACATCACTTTTCGAATGAAACTGTTATCAATGAGATTATCTAAACATAAATCGCTGACAATGTATCAGAAAATAAAGTAAAACATGTACGCATGCCTTTATGCTGAAGTAGTAGAGTAAGCAGTAGTACATATTAATTATATCAGAATATATTTAGTTAGATTGGTTAATTAAATCGATTTGAATTTTATTGATATTCTAAATAGTATAAAATCAAAATAGCTTTTATTTATCTTTCGAAGAGAGCATGAAGTCATTCCGTTCAAAAGTTAAAAATAATAATTGTAAAGAAAAAAATGTTCGTCCAGAGTGCCATTCTTTTGCCATTGACAACTTGATTTAACAAGTAGGCTGAAAATATTGCTTGATGAATGAAAAATGAAAATGGCTGAGCTTAGCGACTTTTTTCTCTCTCTTCTCTCTTTCTTCCTCTGAAGTAAGGATGAATTATGTATAGTAATTAGTGATAATAAGTCATTTAAAACAAGCTATAATTGATTTTAAAATGAAGTTGCATTATGGTATATTGATTCTCCATATGTACAGAGTAAAGCTTACTGCAATCACTTCTCAACTGATTACCATGAGATTTATCAATAACAACTTCTTGATCTCGATAATATTCTCTAATGCTTGATCATTTAAGTTTATTTTAACTGGTATCTTTTATAGTATTTCACGTCTATTTTGCTATAAATAGTTCAGAATTATTGATTATAGTATTTCATGTCTAAATAGTTCAAAGTTATTGATGTAAACAACATTTATCTTACAAAAATTCATTGTTTGTAATACATGGAACTTTCAACTGCTATATTCAATCATTCAATGATTGTAGTAAAAAACATCAAAATTTGAAATTTTGATGGAAAATAACTTGAAATAAGTGACGTTCAATAAGGCTGAAAAAAGTGCAAATCAGAAGGAAAAGCTGCTAAGTGTTGAACTTTGTTCTATTATTATATAATTGCTTGGTTGTTGACAAAATCAGCGAAGTTTGATTTTTGCTGCGGTAAGCAGTAAAAATCAAAAAAAAAAGTTATTAAAACAAAATTATTAAAAGAAATTCGTGAAAAACTTTTAAAACTGTCGCTTATCAAAAGATTTTTCTGCCCCATTAATACAAACTTTCAAAAAGCTCTATGATTACTGAAATTCACCAAACCATGGAAAAAATTCAGATCGTTGAAACATTTCCAAGAAATAATATAGGATAACGTGAAGCATTTTTATGCCAAATTACATTAGTTTGATCTTTCTATCATCATTAGATCAAATAATTAAATAAACAAATAAATAAATATTACATATAATTTTAATAAAAAAAATTATATTCGCTGAACGAATGCGGAAGCGATAGATTTGACATGATAATGAGAAATGAATGATCGTTCTAACAGTGTCAGAATCACCGAGATAATTCTATCGAAATAAAATGACAATCCTCCGAGTTCTGTGTAAGGAGCTTTCCATTATATTTCATTGAACTTATCATTTGTGGATAAACACTTTTGATTCAAAAGAGTGGCATTGTGACTTCGATCCACGAGGTCATTCTAAAGTTACACTTTCATTCTTCCTATCAAAAAGCACCTGGAATGAATTTAGAAATGATTATACCTACAAATGTAAGACATGCACAGTTGTTTGCAGTCATTAACTGATAAGTGATAAGGAAAGCAAAAAGAATTGCAACGACGAATGTAATATTATGAAAGTTCTTTAATAAGAAAGAATATTCGAACCTGTCAATCTTAAGGTATCTAAAGTAACTTTACTTTGCTTGCATTAAAATATCGCAAGGAGATTAAAAATCAAAAGTAATAATAACTTATTCATTTTTATTCTTGAAAGAAGGAAGAATCAATGCCATTTCATCAGTATTTCGGTTTGAATTCATAAAATTTACTTGCTATATAGAACTCCACTATATGTCCCTTTCGGATTTTCACTTTAATTAACTTAATTTCTTCTCAAATATCTTAATCTGTTACATTTTATCAGTACAAATCCTTTATGTTTGTTACTGATAAAAAGCTTTAAATATGGCATCCAAACATTTTTGTTCTTTTTTCTAATTTTCCTCACCAACAGCGCCACTTAGCAATAACTTTTTACTTTTTTCTCTTTCTTCTCCTCTGACATTCTCAATTCTGCACATTTTCTTCTTTCATTCAAATTGAAATATCAAAGATTACTTAATATTCTATTTTTCTCGTGAAAAAATTAATATGATTGTTTTTATCTTAATTTTTGATCCAATCTATTTTCTGCAAATGATGGTGCGGTTGTTTACTTCTTTTTTTTGCTTCTTGAAAGTTTGCTGTAAATACTTGTTTACTTTAGGCTTCTGCTGAATACCAACAACAACAAAACTTTGTGGCTTCATCCTTAGACTATACTACTTCTCTGCGCTGGGCTCTTGGCTTCATTATAGTACTAAGTGCTGCACATTTCATCTTTCGGTATGTCTGATAATTCATTAATCTGTACCAAAGCTGGGAAAGCTCGAAAAGTTATATTAGGCTTGTGTTTGCAATGCTTTAGAAATGAATGATTTTAACCAATGAAGTGAATATTTAATTATTACTATGCTGATTACAAATGAATAGGCTGCTTTTTAATCTCACTTCATGGCTCTAGTTTTGAGTCTTGTACTTCCTTCACAAACAAAAGGTAGAAAAAATTTGAGTCTTAGGCTCAAATCAAAATGGAAGAGGCTTCTCCCTGCCTATTATTTTAATTATAGGACTACTCTTAAAAAGTATTTTGACGAACAGATGAAATCACTTTATATTCTTTTCTTCAATGATGATATCATCTCGTTAGTTTGCTTACTAATCTTTTGTTTTTAAACGTTAAGAGAACTCTTTAAAATTGACATTTCCGCATTTGAAATGCAACTAATAGCCTGTAATTTTATAATGCTTTGATCTCCATTTCCTTTTTTTCTAAAAAATGTCCCTTCAAAGAATTCATGTTTATTTGAAAACAGTTTGTCTGGTAGATGAAAATTTCAACGTGTTCATCTATATAAGTTAAAAAAGACAAGCCAACATATTTGAAAATGAGCTAAATCAACTGAAATGTTTATTTCTGATGCCCAAAGATATTCCTAATTCAGGAATTGCTCAGCACGGGCAATTGTGGAACATCACTTGCATGACTATATTGACAGATATTATTCGCCAGAAGTCATTAATGAATATATTGAACGGATGAAAGCATTAGATGGTCCTGTTAAGAAGTCAGATGATTCAACACATCACTCAGATCAATTGTAAATCAGTTGTGTCTCAGTAACTTGTTATTCATACAAAGTTTGCTCACATAAAAGCTCACTGACATATAAATTAAAAAAAGTTTAGATTTCATAAGATTCTACATTTAAATGATTAGATGCAAATTTTAACTTTAAATTATCATTTGTATTTAAAATAAAGATGTTAGCTTATTTCATTCTTCTATTCCGTATAACTGCTGTCAAGCGGAGGTGTCTTGCTAAGCTTTGGTAGTGCGGAAAAGTGTGCAACTGACTCTAAAGATGATGTATGTTTTACTTAACATAATTATGAATGGTTTTTGTGCTCTCAGAATGTTTATGACCAAAAAATCAATGAACTCATTATAATTACTTAAATTCGAATGTGAAACAGAAATATTGTCATCAAATAGAGCAAAAGCACAAGTGAGGAAAACAACGAGAAAGTGTGGCTAATTACGTTCTGCTATAATAATTTATCAGATTATTGAAGAGTGTCATAAAACAAATTACATTTACTAACAATCGAGCCAAGTTGAGAATCTGAATAGTACTTTTATGACTTTTAATAGGGAAAATTGATAAGAAAATCAAACATAATTAACTAAAATGATTTAATCTAAGCTATCGCATTAGATTTAAAAATCAATTTATTCTTCCATGAAGAAATTAAAAAGGTAAGTGACGTGTTACAAGTGCTTTTTACTTCTGTATCAAGAGAAAATTAAAATTGTGTTAGGCAATAAAATATAATACGAACAAAATTATTCGACTACTTTTCAGTTCTAAAAAAAGTGATCACAAATTTTCAACGAAAAAGTATTTTCCATATTCCCTAGCCTAAATCGAGTTCCAAAATTTTTGAAAAAAAAGTCCTTGCCATGATAGGAAGACAAAAGTCCGTGAAAATTGAGTTCTTTTTAATATTTTCTGCTTAAATGATATACAAATGGAATCCACTCAAAATAAAGTACTTTTACCTGAATTACGTTTAAAAATTTTGAAATGATCGGAATGAAGAAAAGTATGAATGCGAAGATGTCCTACCAAAATTTCTGAAGATCTGGAAATCTGTTACTTTAAAGACAACTTGTGGGACAAAATAGTTCCATAAATGAATTAGTCTCAGTTAGCAAATGAATTAGTCATAAAGTGGCATACAGATTTAATTTTAAATATATATTTATTAACAATGCCTAATAAAGTAATTCAAATTTAGTGGCCAAGAAGTATTCACAAATCTCATGCATAAGAGCAAAATAAACATTCAAAGTCAGCCACATATCGAAAGAAAAACGGCAATTATATGTACCATTGGTATGAAATAATTCACTCTTAAACCTAAAACTTCAACTAATTCACTTTTCCCAACTGCTTGGCCACTTCTCAACAAATCGAATATTTCTAATGTATCAATTCAGATGACTGTCACTTCAACGTCAAAATTCGCTAATTGATGTATGATTAAGTACTATTTCCACCTTATCAGTTTGTTCACCAGAAACATTATTAGTACAGTGATATTTTCAATCGATTTAATCTTTCACTTCATGCAAGAATTACAGGACCGGCG